GTATGTATGTATATTGTACATAATATGTATTTATGTATGTGTGTATTTTTGCAGTTTTCACCCGGTGCGTATGATAAAAGTAAATAAGTGTTAAAATTAGTTTAAAAAAAACTGAAAAATGGTTTTTAATTTAATTTAACTATAATTATTAATGAAATTGAATTTAAATTTATATAATTTACAATAATAATATTTTATACCGTTGCACGTGATATAATACACAGTTAACGTGGTTGTCTTTTGAAAGTCAACCAAATCAAATTTTAGAAAAAGCTCTTTGTCATGCAAAACTAGAGATCAACCTGGTTTAGAATTCAATATACCAAGTTTATATCTGTATGTTTAGCCGTTGTTGAGAAATCGGGTGAACTAACAGACAAGATTCGGAGTTAAATAAAAACCTTTAATAATCAATTAATAACAAGTCTTCTAAAAATCAAATAAAGAAATTGCTCCTACATTATGGTCTTACGTAGTTACGTCCAAAGACGCGGAAATATTATGTATTCATATTTTAAAACATGAGTTTAATCCATACGCTAAATAATAATAACATAAATAGAAAAAACATTCAGCCATAGCGTAGAGAATAATAAAGTATAAACCATGTCAGTTTTATCTTTAAGAAAAAACAAAAAATTAGTGTAATTAAAATCGTAATCCAAAAAGGGGCAAGTTTGAGCAACTTTTCGATAAAGTATTATAAAGAAAATATGATTCTGTATAATATAAAAAATAAGAGCAACCTCTAAGAGCTCCTAAATAATTGTTACACTCAACTATTTAAAATGAAAGTATAATTTCTTTAATTGCGTATGATATAATATATTCATATTTTTTATTTTAATTAATGATATAAATACGAATTAATTCACTTACTTGGTACTATATGTTGATTCATTTTTGATTTAGAAAGCTACAAAACTACTTGTGGTCATATAAAATATCGAAAAACTGAAAAGTATAATATACACGCACACCCTGTGGTAGAATGAAATTCATAAGTCTTTATGAACCTTACCTACATTTATCGACTCATTAGTTAATGACTATCGCATATTGCAGTATATTTGTTATCTTAAGATAAGTGGCAACAAATATTGAAGTTTTTAGTCGCTGATTACGAAACTAAAATTTACTATTTTTGACCGGCTAAAAGTTTGATTAACTCCCACTGTGTGACGCCAACTTGCAGCAGTACGCGGTGAACATGTAAAAATAAGTTTTTCAAAAAATAGTGATTGTCGCCTGAAGAAGTACTTAACCCCAAATTGTTTAAAACTTAACCCAGAACCCCCTACATGTAATGCAAATAATTTAAATTGCGTTCAAGCATGTTATTCCATTCCATCTACTGGCTCATATAAAGTCTAATTATTATAATAAAATAAAATATAATAAATAATATTAAAACAATAATAATCTATAGTCTATACAATTTGTAAGGGTTTTCTACGACCGCGCTCACCAAAAAACTACTGAAACAATTTCGCTGAAATTTTTTACTATTATACCTGACAGTCTGCTGAACGTTTTAGTACCACTTTTGTTAATAAAAATAAGTATAAAGTTCTTGAAAAATTAAAAACAAAGCTAATTTTTTGGGCCTCTCTGCGAGGTCCGCAAGAACAGGCCCATTTTGTGACAACACTATTTATCTTTTTTTCCATTTTTGTTTCACACAATTGTTCCAAATCAATCAAATGATTATCACCACATCGCCTGATTTCTAATTTTTTTTTTGTCTGGATGGGGTGTATTGTATTTAAATGTTCCAAAAAACTTTAAAATAATTTATTTTAATAGAGTTATACCTACCAAATACTTTCTTAAATGTCATCACATCGCTGGATTTTTAATTTTTTTTGTTGGAAGGGTGGAAAAGGGGGGATTGTATTTTTATGTTCCCATTTTGTGAAGACACTATTTAACATTTTTCCAATATGTTTTCACTTTGTTATACCAAACACTCCTACGAGTGATCTATTATTCACTATTTAATTTTATTCGTCTTAACAGTTATAATCGTTTACGTACTCAGTCGTAAATAAACACTTGCGGAAATTATAAACTACAAATTAAGGGTGAGGTGCCGGTCATTTATTAAGGAGTAAACTTTAGGCAATTTATTTCACATGTTGTTCCGGCCTCGGGCAGAACGTGCATGTGTGTGAGTATATAAATCGATATTAGTGTGAGTGCACGCGTTGATAAAGATATGTACGCACGCGCATACATAAGTCAGTGCTAGACTTCGGTGACTATTATCGAAGCACCATTTTGATGAACAAAAATGGTTTCACAGGAAAAACTCTCATGTCTCATGCCATTTTATCAATTCCTTTATTTGATAAGACTTTCAAAATATTTGACATGTTTTAAGCTGTTTACGAACAATTTAAAATTTAAATTTTTTTAGTTTTTTTTTTTTCCAATAAATATTAATACAATTTTATTTGTTGGGCCAAAAAGCGTCAAAATATAATACAAGGCCGCTGATATATTTCTTAAAAGCAGTTGAAAAATATTAAAATTACAGACACTTATAACCATTTAAAGTTAAATTTTTGACAACATTTATGAAATTTAAAATTTAAAAATGGTTTTATAGTTAAACATTTACAAAATGTTTAACTTTCATAACTAAGGCTTAAGGATTGAAAACTTACAACAAGGTACCACGTAAGTAGGTTATTCTGTAACCAAAAAATCTCAAAAATATAAAAGCCCTGTTTTTTTTTTTATAGTTATCGTATGTTTAAATTTGTAGGAAATTACATGTAAATAACAATGAAATATAATATATCCACACTTACAAACCGTCATCAGAAAGTGCTCAGAAGTGTTTTTCGTATACAATGATACTATATCATTAAATTAAAATTTAATATCATCCATTTTACAGTGACCCACTTGTAACCTATTGACGCGGACACGATGATTGCTTCAAGGTTGATCGTGGTCCGGTCGAAGTGTTTGGTTAGGATTGAGGTGATGAAAAAAACACAACACAAACACTTTAAGAATGTCACAAATTATGTATTATAATATTGCGACCAAAATATAATAATACATGACGTGCCGCTCGGGCAGATGAGTTTAACGTTGGACGATATGTTATCGGTCCGACGGTCCGATGGTGGATCTCGAATCGCCTTTTCCGCCGACCGTTGTACGTTTTACGCGACACAGTCCCCCCGTCCCGCCTTGCCGTTACCGGCTCGGTGGGAGAGTCAACCTGGTCGCGCTGCTTGCATCCCGTGGTGGTGGTTGGAGATAAGGTAGACTGGTCGCTATAGTGCTTGTACATTGTACTTGCTACTAATGCAGGCCGTGTTACTATGTCCTACTGTACAGCAGAGCGACATCCACTTAAGAATCTTTTTCATTTTCATTTTTTATACATTTTGTCAACATTTGATATTTAAATGCTTATAAAGAAAATTTGTGCCTATGAATTTTTTATATTTTTCAACTGCTATTATAACAATATATCAGGAGTATTGTATTGCATTTTCACACTTTTCAAATATTATTGACATTTATAAAAAAAGAAACTAAAATAATTGAAAATGTCCGTTTACTGTGAAAGCTAAAATGTAATTTTTTGTCATCAATTTATGTGATATTTGAAGTCTAATGGTTTATACCACTACATCAATTCATTGATATGATAAACGGTGCATCGGCTAATGGGTGATAAATTTAAATTTAACAATTTATTTTTGCATATTATCTTATAAGAATAACATACCAAATTTATGTTAAGTAGTTGTGACCATACAAGTGAAAAACCTATTATCAAATATAAGACTTATCTGTATTCTCTCTGAATTCTTTCATAAAATATATATTTAAGTTGTAACACGTTCACGACCAAGAGTAAATCTGAGTGCTCTTTAAAAGAACCAAGTATAAAATGGATTTTGACATAAACCAGATTCCAAAAAATACAAATAATAACTATAATATGGTCTCTAAAATTTGGACCAGCTGTAAAAAAAATTGTTAGAATAGATCACGTAAAATTGATATTTGTTAAAATAAACCAGTGAAAATCAATCCCATATAAAACGATATTCACCATGTCACATATAAGTGACACCGGTCCACCTAAAGACACACCCATATCCCATATTGGCGATATTGGTGATATCGTATACAGCAATTTATGAGTATTATTTTTAATATTTATTTATTAATAATTTTATATCTTACAAACGTGTAGTTTACTTTAAAGTTTAAAACATTGAAACTTTAAATTTGAGAAAAGGTTAAGTTATTTGACACTCATGTTGAATGGCAGAATTGCTTTCAAAACTAAATGCATTGTGCTTACATGGTATTACAATATATTATAGGAACCTTCCTACCGGAAACCTAAGAATAATTTAAGAAATCATTGAATTATATTTCACATAATGTGAATTAAGAGTTGTACTACTAGATAACAAACAACAATTTGGCAAAATATCAAAGAAAAATAAATCACACATTTTGGGTTTGCTTATATAATTGTGGAATGTATTTTTTATTGATGTATAACTCACATAACTCCACTTCGTATACAGTATATAAATATAAATAATATGTGGTCATTGTTAACATAGATACTAAACTATATAAAATATTAATACAATAATTTGTCTATAATATAACAAAAATGTCAACAGTATAATTAGACTTTAAAATTTTTCATGATTTTTTTTTAGAAAATTAACTACCCTGTTCTACCTAAAAAATGTCAGACTTAAAAAATTTACATTTTTTTTTTTTTTTTTTTTTTTTTTTTAATAACAATTCAACTACCTATCTTTAAAACAATTATAATATAAATAACTGAATTCTAAGTACCCCATGGTTTAAGTATTTACTATTGCTAATCCCATTAGTAACGTTGTTATTACAGACATCTCTGTGTGCGTATTGTATTAAAAAAATTCATGTATATATTTCTTTTAAGAAAGAACGTTGAATATGTTTATGTTACATCTGGCGTCTTATAATATGCCCACTTGATTCTGCTGACGTAAAACATTGACTCTACTGCCCCCACCAACACCGTAATATGCACTGGTTGAATTTAATAGTCCAATTCGTTGTCGCTGTTTTCGTTGTTCTGTCATCTAAATTATACAAAATAAGATTTAGAATAAAAAAAGACAAATAAGATAAAATACATTTTTACAGAATGTAGTGGGTATTAAACAACAACAGAATCAAAATCACATTATCACATTTTCATTTAAAAATTGCCAATAAAATAGATGGATAAAGATTTTATTAATCTAGAATGTCAATGGTGCTTGAACGGCAAAAATATACCTGTTCTTTGAGTTCAGAAAGCTGTTGTGATAGTAACGCCACTAAAGTTTGTGTAGTTTCTAACTGTGTTTGTAAACCTCTAAGCTCAACCTGTTCGCCTTCGCTATCCACTTGGGCAGCCATCAGCAGTGACATTGCTCTTAAGCGCGGAAACCAGTCTAAATTACGGTCCTGTTGGGATATTTAACAACACAACAGATGAGAAATGTATATTAATTATAACTAGGGAAAACAATTTCTGCTTACTTTGACCATAGCGTACACATAACTTTCAGGGCCGGTGAACTCAGTAGGGTCCTTTACTTTTACCAAAACAATAAAGTATAAATAGTGCCACATGTTGTGTTCGCACTTAATATGCTCTTCGAAACTCACGGTTTTGTTGTCAAATGCGGATCTGTTGAGTCCTGAAACAATTTTTTTAAACAAAAGTATTATAAATATGATTAATTTCTAACCAAATGTTGTATCTTGTACTTATAAACATAACATTCATTATTATATAATAGAATAGCCATGTATGTACATAATAATAACATATATTAGTCATAAGTGTATATATTTTATGTTTAAAGTATATTGGGTGATATTGTATACTACATACCACACACAAAACATGTGTTTTTCAGTATCAGTTCTTTTTGTTGCTTTTCACTACGCAAGTCAGCAAATGTGTCGATGATGACACCAAAAATCAAGTTCAAAACGATAATAATGACAATGAAGAAGAATAGCAGATCATAAACAACGCGGGCCACAAAAAGGGGTTCCTGTATATTTTAAAATAATGTTTTAATAATAAATTATGTTGCAAAAACAAAACTATTCAAATCTTAATTTAGTTTTAAATGTACTTAATATTAATTTTCTATATATTATATTATATAAACACATAATAAATATTTAAGAATTTAATAATAATCAATGATACAAATATAATCAGTCACTATATACCTGACTGCTGGGAGCTCGAAGTATATCACCTATGCCACCACCGTTCCTCAGACCCTGGTTTAATGTTGTTACTATGCACATGATTAACGAGTCACAAGCTCTTTCTTTCCGGTCACCACCACCTGCATCTACAGACACCGAAGATCTTGTCAAGCTGCTACCACTATCGCCGCAGTCAATATCATCTCCTGCCGCTGCTGCTGCCGAACAAGCTTGCTGGTTGTCACCGCCATTGGTGTCTAGAAAAGTAATCATGACAAAATTTTAAATTGTAATCAAAATACGAATATATACTATAAAATATATAGCAATTAATACTCAAGAGAGAACTGCAAAACCTCTTTTAATTTTAATAATAATGTTCAGCGGTGTGAAAACTTCTCTTAGCCATTTTATATTAGTAAACTACTATTACATAATTTCATGATTATTGTGACTACAAGGAAGTTCAAAATAATCCAGTGTATAAAAATAGGTAACAATTAGCACACTCACCAAACACGACATCATCATCAACTTGCACTAGGAAATCGTCTTTGAAGAACATGTAGCCAATTATGGAGAATAAGTAGACCAGTATGAGAGCCAAAACAGCGGTCAATATTATAGACCGTCCATTGCGTGTAACCGAACGTATGACATTTAACAATGTTTCTTCGCGGTAAACAACATCCAACAACTAGAATTCATGATAAATACAAATATACAATATGTAATAATAATATTATTATAAATTATGAGACTCGAATTATTATGATTAAAATCAACAATCTCAGTCTTATATTATCATAATAATAATTTAGTATTATAAAATATACATTATAATGTTGATAGCTTACCAATACGCTATAGAAAAACGGATGCATGCACAGGCCGAGTATGCAAAACATGATGTACATCAGATGGTAGAGAATTTCGGCCGAAGCCAAAATTTGACCCAGACGTTTGGTAAACGTACCCTGATTGCCCATGATACTGATAATGTGCACACTTTTCATAACTACCTGTAATCAAAAAAAAATCTTTGTAAGAAATACTTTTTATTTTGTTAAGATAAATATGAGTGAACACCACTCAGGGGTATTAATTTAATAATTGAAAGAAAGCAAAACTAAATAAATTAAAATTAAACAATGTGTATCTTATGTCATTGTACAATGATTATGGTTAAATGATTATGGATCAATAATAAGGAACTTCATAAAATTTCATACTTGTTACTTTATTTTTAAGTTTTAAGAAAGAGCGTAATTTTTCATTGTTTTTTTCGTGCATTTAGACCAATAAGCGGAAGAAAATTCACAAAGTACCGAAATTCCGATTTTAATTTTGGATACATTTGAATTTCTAATTTTCTTTTTTAGGTTATGTAGAAAATCTTAAAATTAAGTGCCATGTAACTGCGCGTTATTGCAATCAACTTAAATATTTTTTTACAACTACAACATCCATGCATCCATGCACACATAACTCACAATAGATATAGAATATTGCCTAAATACAACCTTAAAAATGGTTAGCTTTCAACAGCCTTAATGGAATTCCACCTGTGATTGTCTGTCTTTGTCTAACACACGAGAGACATAGGCGATCAGAATTCTAAAAATAGATTTGAGTCATCAAGTCTATTTGAAATCAACTTTCCAAAATTTTTGATTTTTTGATTATTACTTCTACAAAAATTTAAATATGACAATTTTCAATTACTCATTTTTATATAACGTTTTTAGGAATTTAATGGATATTTAAAAATGTGGGAAAGTTGATTTTAAAGAGGACTTGAGTAAAAATTCAAATCTATTTTCAGAATTCTTACCGCTTGATATTATATCAATCGGTACATTTGGTAAAGAACATGTCTAAAATCTTATGTTACACATGCGTTGGACAAATACAGAAAATCACCAGGTGCAATTTTTTTAATTGGCAATTTTTATATAGCAATATCAACATTTTTTAGCACTTAATTATTTTAAATGGTAAAAACTATATTTTTTTAAGTATAAATTAAATTTACTAGAGCCGAATATATATTTTTTTTAACTACTTTTAATGCAATATCATATATTTTTATACACTTTAATTGGAATCTAATAATACACTCCACCAAAAAAATTTTATTAATTTTGGGATAAATGCCTAAAAAAAATTGTTGGTGAATGTACTTCACTATTTTAATTTTAATATACAATCATAAAATAAGTAGGTAATATTATTGTATAATTATAATTAATTGATAGCTTTACATTTTTTCTTCAGAGTGAAGTTGCTTAGAATAATTTTAATTTTAATACTTATTTAGGTGGCTAAGGTAGGTAATAACGGTAATCAACTACTATTACAGTAATGTTTAAAATCTGAAAATATCTGAAAATCAATACATTAACATAAATACTAAATATCAATATAGGATGGTACTTAATTAAGGTAGGTATAGCTTAATCTGAGTTAATTGAAGGTTTCCAATATTATTATAAAAGTAGTAATTAAATACTATGTTTACCTTAGCTACCTAATAAAGAATCTAAATTTATGCTATTATAAGAAAAGCAAATGGAAATAATTAACTAATTATGATTATACAATAATGGTACTATGTTTACCAACTATTTTGTAGGCATTTAACTCAAGATAATATACTGTTATTTTTGTGGAGCAAAACTTATTCCCAATTTAAGTGTATAAAGATATATAAAAGTGCATTAAAATAAAGTAAATAATTATCCAGTAAATTAAATTCATACCAATTACTTCAAGTTAAAGTATTAATGAATTTACTGAACTTTAGAGTACAGTAATTAGTAAAATAAATAAATGATTATCAACATGTTCAGAAAAAAATCACAACCAGAACTAATTAAAAATTTAGTTGTTACCATTTGAAAAAATTAAGAGCATGTGATACCTGTATTTGTTGTCTCCGTACAATTAATGTACAACATAGCAAAAAACTGTTTTGCGAGGGATAGAACCACTCCCTCGGTATTTATAGTAGAATTGCCAAAATGCCACAAGGCATAGGTAACAACTTTATCTGTGTCTTAGTTTTTTTTTTTTTTATAGCATTTACCAATAATAAATTGAAAAAAACAAAAAAAAATCTTATTTTCTCAAACTGATAACCCTAATTTTATTTATGTTATCCAAATAATAAAAATGCTACAACACAGATAAAGTTGTTCCATATGCGTTGTGGAATTTTGGTAATTCTACTATAAATACCGAGGGAGTGATTCTATCCCGCGTAAAACAGTTTTTTTTGCTATGTTATACATTTGTAAGACGGAGACGCATGCGGGTATCACGTCCTCTTAAGTTGACTTTGATGTTGAAAAAATTCCTAGTTAAAAATAAAGATACACTATTTTTTTTATAAAAACCGCTGATCATTGAAAAACAACACGTACAACGACATAATACATAACGAAACAGACAACACTCTGTAATCTATATAACATACACTATATTATTTAAGTAACAGGGGCGATGTGGTTAGTAAGTAACATACCGTGATCGCACCCAATAACCAAAGTGTGGGTTCTGGGCCAACGGACAATATCAACCGAAGGATGGCGGTGACAACCAAAGTGGTGCGTACTGCAGCCGTCCACCTTCGTCGGCTTGTCCGGGTAGTCAGCAACGTACGCCTGCGCCTGCGCCGGCGCTGCTGTCGACGACGTCGAGTCGTTTTCCGCTGTTGTTGTTGGTCTCGGTCACCTCCACTGCCATTATCTTCGTCTTCTTCATCGTCGTCTTCGACATCGTCGACGTCATCAGCATTATCATCGTCTCGAGCCCACACTAAAAACACAGCTGCGCTGACTGAAGCCAGTAGTCCAAGCCACACAGCCGCCGAAACATGGCCACCCAAAGCTGCAACAATGTGACACAAAACAATTAAACGCTAAATTATTATTTATTAAGAGGAGGTCACACCCACATGTGTTGTTTCCGTCCTACAAATTTACAACATAGTAAAAACTGCTTTGCGTGGGATAACTTTTATCTTTCTGTGTTTTTACTTTTTAGTAAAAATTTTATTTTTTTGTTTTTTTCATTTGCATACAAAAAATGATTGGATAGTGCTATACTGTTATAAAAAAAAAAAGTACGTAGTTGCACAGACAATGTTCTTCTTTATGTGTTTTAAAAATTTGGTAGTTCTACAACAAATATTGGTGAGAGAAAAGTTATCCCGCACAAAACAGTTTTTGCTATGTTGTACATTTTTAAGACGCAGACAACACATGGGTGATTTTACTCTAAAATTACTTAAAAACATAGAAAAAAGGATTCTGCGTAAATGCGTTCTGTCCATGTTGTGTGTAGGCTAGAGAGAGAAAACAAACAGTACGAGGACAAACTCTTAAAGACATTTTAAACTCTTGGTTTTTAACCTTGGTTCACATTATTATATATCATGTTAACAATCGGTTAAGACGTGTACTTATTACCTTTGATTTATAACCTATCGGTTTTGTGGCTTTGTCATGACATGATAATAAATTGCAAATTATCCTTATTATTATTCAGCATTGTTGATTTTTTATTAAATAAAAGCTCGACTTACCAGATATCATACGACGGCGTTGCCCGTCGTCAACATTGCTGCTACTGCTACTGCTACCACCGTTGTCAAATGGATAGAAAAATGCCACGATAAGATTAATGATCACGGCGCAATTAAACAAAATGTTACTCCACAAGGACATGAAGCTGCTAACCCAAAACAGCGATGACCGAGCTACACACAACGTCAATATTAAACGCATATTTAATATTAGTATATAATATAACTACTATAACTTAAATAAATAATTAATACTTATATTTGATTAATTACCTCTCAGCTTCTTTTGCCACATCATCTCATTGAACATGTCGTCCGTCTTCTCGAAAAAGTCGGAAACTTTTGATCCTTGATCATCGCGTTCAGCTGTATTGTAGATCTTGACTTTAGTGTCGTGGGTCAAGTATTCGCAAATCTCCGGTATAGGAAACACAATTTGTTCTAGGGTTCTATCATGCCGGACAATCTGCAAAAAAAATTAATTTAATCTACGCAATAATAAGGCCACCAAAATAGATACTATGACTAATTAGTGACAGAAAATTTAAAACAATTTAATTGCATGTAGGTAACAGTACACTAAGTACTCATAATATGTCCTATTCGATTTACTATACCTCTATTTGGGCAGTATGCGACGCATAATACACTAGGGCTCGGTTGACTCGAGGATCAACTTGGTTTTGTTGTTGTAAAAGCTGTTGCTGTTGCTGTTGCTGCTGTTGTTGATTTTGTCCACCTGTTGCCTGAACGCCTTCGACTTCACTACAGTACAAGCTATTGGGTTTTAATAAACCAGCCAACTCTTTATTATGCTGCGCTAGCTGGTGGCACAATATGTAAATGTTGTGGCCCACCTAAACATGTTAAAATGGTATTTAAGTTTATAAGTTTGTAACAAAAATGTCATTCTTAAAAGTTATGTTTAACATAAAAATAGACTGATATATAATATTATACTTAAGTATAATAAGGATTTGTGTAATAATTTTATACGTTATTGGTAAACTAGTTTTTAATTCGTACTTCTTTTGGCGACACACCCCTATCTTCATCGTCATCGTCATCACAGTCACCATCTACACCTCTTGTGCCACCGGTACCACGACTACGGCCACTGCCGATAGACGCCCCTTTGCCAAGTCGTACATCTTCAATATGGGAATCTTCTTCATCACAGTCTTCTTGGTCATCGTCGTCTTCTTCATCTCCATCATCATCATCGTTATCGTCGTCATCGTCACAATAATCGTCGTCGATACCGTACGCCAGCCTACCACCTCGACGCCGTCGGCGTGCTGACGACGCTGTCACGTCGTATTGCTGTTGATAGTATGCTCGACATGCCACATCAACCTATAAAGAAAAATTAATAATTCGAAGAAACAAAATGATAACATGACTGAGACTATGCAACAGTGTAGTAAGTATACATCTGTTGTTTGTTGCACATTGTGTAGCTTACACTAGAGGCATAATATGAATATAATATGATTATCATTGGAAAATATTAATTACCAACTGCTTAGGATTCATGTTGTAAAGAATTCGCTCGGCGTTTTCACCGTCCCCTCGGCTCTCCATGATGGCCAACAACAATTTAGACGCATTGTTTTTCAGCTCCAGTACCAGGTCCATGCGCGTTTTTCCCAATGGATTTATGTCATTAAGTATAAGTGCTGTGATTATATCCAAACCATTGGATTCATGCGTAGCGATACAATTTTGATTGTCATGACAGGGTCCCTAAATAAAATATCATTATGTATATTATTTATATATTGATAAATATACAAAGTACAATTATTAGTTGACCCATGAAAAAACTAACCTGACAGTATTCTGTTAGGGTTTCAAGCGTTTGATTAATGAGTGACACATTGTTTTCGTTGATATATAGACCCAACAAGCCTAGGCCACCCGTTGTCGAACCACATATGCAGTCCAAAAACATCAAAGTTTCGGATACCAGGTTATAATTCACTTTGTTGTTTTGATTTCGAAGCAAGTTCTGCAAAATACCAGAATTGGTTCAAATCATGATAACATAGTTAAAAATATTACTTATGGTTACATTTGTAGGGACTTACATCCACCAACATGGGGTTAAAAGATACACAAAAGGTTATATTAAAACAATTTTTTTTATAAAAACGAGTTTATAGTTGGTAGGCAGCTACTAAAAAATATCATAATATATCCACTATTAGTTTGTTACCAATAAATTAGTTTATTACGTTGTTTATTTCAGGTACAAAAATATTGAATAAACAATTAGGTACTTTTAAAATTACGTGGTCGACAATATATTGTAAAAAAGCGAATGTGGAAAATCATTAAAACACAATTAGAGGAAGGAGTCAAACCTGTAAATCACGGTTGTGGTTTTCACATAGAAGTTGTAAGAAACGTAGTATAGGTTGCATGATCAGGATTTTAGGCGACAACAGCTGTTGCTGTTGTTGTTGTTGTTGTTGCAGGTACTGCTGTTGCTGTTCCTGCTGCCTATGGTAATAGTAGTAGTACGAATCATCAGCTCGCTGAAGTCTATCAGCCGCCGTGCCGTTACCATCATCAGCTATCGACGATAAGTGTCCTTCATCGTCATCATCGTTATCTCGTTCACCTGCAATAATGAATTAGATAGTTAAGTGTATGGTCGTTATGACTTAATGAGTTACTTTTCATGTTAAAATATATGGAATTGTTTATAACATTTATACAAGAATACATTAATAAAAACCATATACCTATATTATATAATATATTCGAATTAGGAGGTAACCTTTGTGATAATATAAGTTTATAGTACACTATACATGATTTAAAATTAAGGTAATTAAAAAACACGTTTTAAGTAAGACTGTGAAAGAGGTTATTATTTTATTGTAATTAAATGCAGTATTTTACATACCAGTAGCAGAATTAATTGAAGACGCAACTGACAAATTTCGAGCACCAACCGCGTAAGCGTGGCTAGTGGCTGCGGCAGCTTGCGCCAGTTCTTCACGCAGCTCATCCGTCATTAATATACGACGCTTCCCTCCAACACCTCTGGATCGTGATGTAGTTTTACCTATATGTATCAAAGTATAACAAAGACGAATTTTATATTTTACCACTATGAAATATAAATCTCATATCAAATCGTTGTACTAAGTTAGATGCCTATCATGGTATATACACCCCTCGAAGAATTTTTTTTTGGCTCCCCAACATTTAAATTCATTATAACAAAATCGTAATATGATCGTATAAATTTTACATTTTATTGTTATACAGTGGGAGTTCCCGGGAGTCGCTTATATCGCGATAAGAGGCGATGAACGGCGTGAATACTATTCACAATCGTACAATCGCGAGCATTAAATATAAATAGGTAATAATATATTTTTTCTTCTTCTGGCGGCCCCCGGTATTTTTATGAAAGCTTAAATTGGCCTTCCAGCTACAAAAGGTAGGACCAATGGAATACTACCTCTACTGTTTGTAAAAATGTTGTAGGTATAATAATGTTTAGTAATAATATACCTTTTTTACCGGAACTCCGATCAAAACGGTTGTTTTGCCGTCGCTGACCACCATGGTTTTGTTGACCATTCATAGCTGGCATACGTCGTCCACCTGCAGCCATTTCAGCCTCTTGCTGTTGCTGTTGGGCTGCCTGAGCTGCGGCTGTCGTAGCTGCTGTATTTACCGAAACTATAACTGTTGACTTGATTTCGTTTTGGGCGTCACGCATTTTGTCATAAAAAACTCGGAAAAATAGTTGGCAGCAATTCACTGATGGGTCAGTAGGACTTGCGCCACCACTTCTTCCACCACCAGCACCACCACCGGCGGAAGCTGCAGCAGCAGCGGCAGCGGCTGTACCTGGCGGTAATGGTGACAATAGTTTGTTGTAAACGCTACGCTGAACAACGGGGTTGCCACCTTCCAACAGAGCAACGCCCAGCTGCACAGCTTCGACAAATATTGAGTAAGACGGGGACGCGGAGAGAGCTGCAGCTGCAGCCGAAGCTGATGGTCCAAAACCACTTGCTCCCGCACCACTACCAAAGTAGTAATTGCTGCCGAAAAAATTACCACCAACTCCACCGATGCCGATTGAACCAAAGAATCCACCGACGGAACCACCACCACCACCACCACTGCTTCCTGACATTGATGCCGCGGCTGCTGAAGCTGCAGCTGACTTTATAATGAGTTCAACAACCAAATCGGACGCCCCTTCTCTGTCTAGGTGAGTTTGTACTTCATGTAAAGTAAGCCCAGCTCGCTGCAAAAATTTTGCTGCAAATATAAATAAAAAAGACTGTTATTATATTGAGGTGGCCGATGTCATTAGATTATAAAACACATTAAGGAGTAGGTCCAACACTCTGATACACAACAGGTAATATATTATATATTATATAAGTCGTATTGCCTATCACCATGTTATTTTTGTGTCAGTGTGTACTCAATTTTAGAAAGATAATAATTATTCACCACCCGGTCCATGAGTGACTCTGTGTTGTTGTTGTTGCTGTTCAGATCTAAACGATATTGGTGGTGGGGGCGACCATGAAGTTGTTGATGGTGGTGGAGGTAAATGTTGCTGATGATTGGCAGCCAACGTTTTTGTCGAAGAATCTCCAGTAGCAGTGGAACCTATGAGGCGGCTGCCAGAAGTTGTAGAAGCATCATCATCGTTACCTTCATCGTCATCAGTAACATTGGTGCTGCCATCGTTGCCTTCTAGCTCAGACGTGTCTATTCCGCTATCACTTGAACTATCCACACCCATTAAGCCTATGCCACCATTAAAGTATCTCACTAGCAAGCTTTGCCTCAGTGCATCACCCTGTAATCAACAAAAAAGTTATAAATTTCACAATACGCAAACATTTTTTTCCTGTCAATATGACCTTTAAATAAAGGAAAAAATATGATAATTTTCAGATACATAGTTTAGAGTTAGTCAATAATTAATTAACGAAAGCAAATTTTATATATATTAACATCAGCATAAATAAAAGTTGAAGAATTACGACAATTTTAAATGAATACATTTGATTAACGTGGAATTATATTTGCACTACGTAACTATTTGTGTAAGAAAGAAGCATTTTTGCATAGTATATAATATTATGGTGATGGAAGTATTAGGTTGTGGTGATAAATACTACGCTAAGGAGCAATATACCTTATCACCGTAATCCAGGTCTATAGCCATCATTTCTTGTAAAGTTTTTAAGACTTTAACACATAATTTGTCTTCTTTTTCTTCTAACAACTGCTCTGTATGTTTAATGAGCCTACGAAAAAAACAATTAGTACAGAAATAAGATAAATATAAAACAAAAAGAATGGTAGTGCAAAACATAGACAAAAAAATACAGAAGATGATTAAGTACAAATGGGATTTGTAATCTGTATACCTGTTGATGAAACCAGTTACGCCACATGCTGCAGCAGCTACTGCTACTGAAGCTGTATCACCAACAGCTGCGGCTGCAGCCACGGTAGGAAATAAAAGTTCCGGGCGATATAGTATATCGACAAGCAGTGATAGCTCAGCTTGGACTAATGGCCTGAGTTGGTCTTCTAATACCAGAACTATGTCCTGCAGCCCCTCAACAATGCTCTTATCTAATCGGATCAACTAGAAAAAAATAATTAATTATTTTTAAAATTATGATGATAGGTAGCCAATATGATCAATCATAGGTCAATCATCTTTGTAACATATATATATATATATTTTTTTTTTGATTTATAAATGTTTTACCTGTGATTGTGATCTTTCAATCATCTTTTTGGGTGTTGACTTTGCCGCTTGCAACCATTTAGTTGTTTGTCTTCGCAGCAATAGTGCAGATGGTGACGAAGTTCCACCTGACACACCTCCACCAGAGGAGGTCTGTGATTGTTTGTTGAATATACCATTGATGTGAGTTTGCAATTGTGCAGGCAGGTCAATTGACATATTTTTGGCTGTTCAAATAAAAATCCGAGCATTAAATAGTTTTCGTATTGTTTATAATTTAAAATAATTATTAACAGTTGAATAAGTATTTTACAATGGATTGAATTCCATACAAAACTCACCGTAGTCCGAAAGTGTGCGTATCGTGTTTTCTACATTGAATCGCTGTTGGATGGTCAAATGGCCAGCAGCAGTCAGTTGTTGATGTACGCGAACTGCAGCTTGTAAGAGTTGCACGAATATTGGCTGCCTAGCCTGTAAAGAAGATGAAACGAACATCCAATTAATACTTGGAAAAAACACCTCTATAGTAAAACATAATTGAGTAAACTATAACTATTACTTGTACAACAGAGGTAGCATTAGTGTTGGCGGTAAATGTAGCAGACGATGTTATTGCCGACGAAGAGCCACTGCCATTGTCGTCAGCACCAGTTTGCAGTCGGTGGTGGTGATGATGATGATCCGGTGATGATGCAGTTGATACAGCTGCTGCCGCAGCAGCTGCTGCAGCTGTTGATGAAAATGGACTACCGAAAAACGAACCAATAACAGTGATCAGAGAGTCGCAAACGTATTTTACCAGCTTGCTATGTGATTTGGTACGGGTAACGCTGGCGATGGTTGGCGGCGAGGTGGTTATAGCTGCAGCGGCCACTTGGTCTGCCACACGGTTCATGTCAGGCAAGAAACTCTTTTCAAATACTGTCCACATGTGGTTTGAAGCATATATTTCTTTCATCTCAACTTCGGTGTCCACGTAACAGTGATTCAAAAAGTTGACATATGCCTCTTTCACCTGTTTCACAACAATTTATGGATATAACTAATGAGCTAGAAAACACTTAAATTGTGATCACTACAATTAAAGTATGATTGAAAATCATAATTTACCTCTGGTATACAGTCTGGATGTGACACCATTGCGACAATATCGTCCAATGGTAATAGGCTATGACACTTTATTTCCGTGTACACGTTCTTACCCATAGTACAATAAGCTAACAGTTTAACTAACTCAACGTGGTATCTGTAAAGGCAACATTTAAATTGTTAATATTATGTATAATATATTTTATAGAATAAATTGTGTAGCAATAATAATAACAACTTCCTGAATGTAATTTTCAGAAATAATGTATACAGTATATTAAAAAAACTGTTCAATAGATAAATAAACAAACCTCAAAGCATTATGATCGTTATTGTCTTCATTTTCCAATTCTTCAGCCGCCACCACTCCTTCTTGTAAAGAGCAGTCTTCTGCAGGCACAGCTTCCCTGATATCTGTAGCTGACTTAGGTAAGTTTTGGTTGACCTCCTGTTGTTTATCAGTGGATCTTCTACAATCTACTGCTGTCACTACCAGCATTTGCACGTCTTCCCGGTACTGTCGATCACGTTCACTTCGCATCATTTCCACAAATTGTTGGAACGATGCCTTATTGTCATTATAAAATACCAACACGTCCTCACCAGCATTAAGTAGCTAATTAAAAATACAAAATATATTAAATTTTATGTAAGAGTAAAATCTATATTGAGAGTGTAGCGAATACATTTTAATCTACTAACCAGGACTTTGCAATCGAATGATTTATTTAGGTTTAGGGTATTGGGTGCTGCATGTATTCGAGTGTTAAGTAGTTCAGAAAAAACATAATTTTTTAGTTATTCTTAATAAATACTTTTTTAAATTTTTAATTGTTTAGCATAATGTCCTAATATTGCTATTGTCCAACAAATAATAAACTATAAAATAGAACTAGCTCACTAACATTTCCCTAATGGGAACCCATGGGCCTCTACACGAAGAAATAAACAACAACAATACAACCACATGAAATATAATATACCAAATAATATATCACATGAAGAGTGTAAAATAAAAAAATATTTGGGTTCCAGGTTAAACCGGAATGTTTTATATGGGTTTTGGTTAATTTGTGTGTTTTGAAAATAGAATATTTCAGGTTATATGGGTTTCCTGTATTTGATTTTTTAAGGGTTTTTATGGTTCTGGTTAATTTGGGTGCACGTTTAAGGCCCTGCTATAATTATAATTTAAAATATTATTGTAATCCTTATATAAACGTACTTCTTGCATAACCATGTCCTGTGATTTCCTGATAAACTGCTGCTTCTGTATGGCAGCGGCCGCAGCTGCAGCTGCACCATGTCGCTGCTTCATGCCACCACTACCATAGTAGTAATTTTCGGGTTCCTGAACCGAGGTATCAGACACTGAGGTGGACCCTGGTGCAGGCGAACAACAGCCTACTATTGTCTGAAAAAACTCCAAGTACTCGACCCGTTTTCCCTGTGACTCAATACAGTGTATAAAATGCTGGACGACTTTATCACCACCACCGCCACCAATCTCATTGCACAACACTGGGTTATCTTTAAATATAGCACAAACGGTACGAGCGTCCCGAATCTAATGAAACAATACAATAATTGGATAAATTATTAATTTATTTTGTAAAGTTTAGTTACTATTTTTGATGATTAGTATACCTCAGGGTTAAGAAACAAGTCTAGGTGTGCATGGAGTAAATGCTGGTTTTGCGGGTTTCCCAAGCAAAATGATTGAAGAAACTCATGTGCCAATTCCATCAGACCATCCATACGCCGGTCCCCTTTTCGATCGTACGGCACCTGCAGAAGGTCCAACACTACTGTATGTACGCCAACATTGCGTAATAGTCGTTGTTCGTGCTTTTTGGGTTTTTTTATTAGTGCTGTTGTGGCTAAGCTAGTTGGAGTTCCAATGGATAAATTTGATCTAGAAGATGATGTCTGTAACCCAATACCCACCGATGAAGGTACACGTGTAACACACAGTTCATTCATTCGAATCAGAATCTATAAAGCACAAAATCAATCGTTGATTTATCAATTATATAAGTATTATTATTATTATTGTTTATTAAACGCCAAAACGTCAATTTTACATAGTTTACAATTAATATGGTAATAAGGTGTAGGTGTGATTATATAGTTACATAATTACATAATTAAATACAGAAATAATTTAGATAGCAATAATTCAGAGTGTACATATAATATGGTTATTAGTATTTTAGTAAAAGTAAAAGTAGAAATAGAATACTATTAATAATATTTAATTTATTTATACATTAACCATGCTTGTTTCACCATGTTTGCCCCTGTTAGAAACTTATCCGAATTATTATTTTTAAAAGATGAGTGGGAAATGAATTAGAGAGAAATAAGTTAAAATATTATAACTATAATAACTATAATATTTTAAGGGTTACAAAAATGTATTAAAAATGGTTTAAAAAAGTTGTTAAAATGTTTTTATTTTTAAAAGCTCGGAAAGCTTTTTTAAGTTATTTACAAATAAGTAATTGTAAGTTTTAAGTTAAATTTGTAACAAATGTTAAGTTTTGAATAGTAATGCTTCAAAAGTGTGGGCAGGGCAGCATTGGATGCTGAGCAAGTAGGACAGAATACATGCAAAGATAATTATGGAGAAATATTTATCAATACCTACACCACTAGAAGCTGTTACCTTTTGTATTTTTTTGTATTCATCATCTTCAAATTCTTCTTCACCACCGCCACCACCACTACCTTCAGCTGTAAAAATATCGAAGGATGCTTTTTCAGTAGTATTTGTAGGTTGAGCCACACGGGTGCCTTCCACTACTATCGGTTGCGATTGTGTAGTTTCATTGGCATTCACAGATGACAACGAGACTACTGGTGTGGTACCATCTGTCATGGTCATAGGTATTTGAGTGGTAGACACAGATGTTTGTTGTTGATGTTCATCATTGCCATTATGTAATTGTTGGCTACCACCAGCAGCTACTGTAGCAGCAGTCGGTTTATTCGACTTGTAAACCCACAACTCAGATTTCTCGACACTTTGCCGTAGCACATCTAGATCAGATTTTATCTGTTTATAGGATTCAACGTCAGCGTCTGACACCAGAAGTTGCACCTGTTTTAATACACGAGCAGTTAGTATTAAATAAAAATATAAGATATATTATATCCGTATAACTAGTATATCGTTATAACTATTATAAACATCATATTATATCTGTCAAACAAAATTGGTCATTATATTATATTTAATTTATACTGTGTATATTATATACAAAATATTCAGAAATAATTTTGAAATTTTGATCGTGAAGTTATCATTTTGAATACGTACCTGTTTGAATGCTTGTAACACTTCCTGTCGTTGGCTAAAATGCCGGAACAACAGATGCAATGCTCCTGAGACTAGGGCAGGGTAATCATGCATGGTCAGGTGCAGGAGCACGCGCAAAAACATTCGGCCGCCGTTGTCGTCTAGGTCCAAAGCAGCACCACCACACTCTTCGCTATTGTTAAATTAATCAAACACACACACACACACACACACACACACACACACACAACGTTAGTCATAGTTAGTTATCGTGTTTGGGTTAAGGTACAAGAATGAGAATAAAAACTACTACTCAAAAATACCAAACCAAAAACTCCAGGATTAAGTAAGTCATAGATAAATAAATACCTTTCACCAAATATTCCTTCGGCTTGAGCGCCTACCCGTTCCAAATCGATTGACTTATGGTAGTGATGATCTATAAATGCTGATGAAGATACAGATGATGATGATGTTGTGGAAGATGCCGTTGTAGGACTGGTAGATGTTGTTGATGACCCTATACCTGTTGTCGTCTGCTGCGATAGGCTTGAAATGGATGCTGCAGCAACCGCCGCAGATCTTTCAATTTCATCAAATTCCCTTTTGAAAATTGACAGCAAACATCCTATGCGGTAATCTAGGCGGACGTCTAATATAAACTGCGGGCACAACATTATTGACATGAGTAATATTATAATCACAATAAATATAATTTTTCAGTAGGGAACATATAATTAAAATTAATCATAGCAATAAGTATACAGTTAGTATATTTTTATATTTTGTCAGAATAGAAAGCACCAACCTGTAATATTTCAATAATTTTCAACTTTGTGTCCATGACCAGAGGATACGCTTCACCACTTACGATTGTTGAACCACTGCCCCCAGTCTGCTGGTGTAGTAGCGATGAGGACGATGAACCTGTCGTAGCAGTGGTAACCATACTCAATGTGGATTTCGATTTATTTAATAGCGGTGGGGGGTGCCTGCGTCCACTACTTCCACCAAGCGTTAATCCAGTAACTACAGCACCAACGTCTCCAATTGCTGATCTCATAGCACCGATTCCTTCAGCTGTACAAAAGTTTGCAAGAGATTCCCAATTATGAACTTTTATAATACATTTTTTTACAGAACCATGTTACATTTAGATACATATGTAATAACAACAGCTATGAAGTCAAGAATTGTATTGCTCCTTACCTTGCACATCTGCCGATGTTGTCGATGCTGTTGTTGTAGCCGCTGAAACACTATTAACGATATCACTGCCATTACCACGGCCAACAGCAGCAAAGTCGTTTTCTGACACACAATCTAAAATGCTCAAAAGTGTTTTTGTGAGTCGGAGCAAGTCACCAAAACTGTAGAATCCAAAATAAATCAAGTCTCTGGCCAACTTGACAACCTGTATACACACAAAAATAATTTAAAATCATCAAATAGATGAATTAACATAAGACCTTAATTCTCATATTAACTATTAAAAACAGTTGGACAAGAAAATATCTGAAAACCAAACTTTAAAAAAAAATCAAAAATAACCTTGTATTCTAAAGAAATTTATGAAATATTTAAATTTGTAACTTTGAATTTTTAAAAAAAAATATTAAAAATATTAATATGTAAATAAAAACCATTTAATTGTCAGGATGTTTTTTAATAGATAACATGACAATATTTACAATTTTTTTGGCTCTTTGTTATATTATGATGACAGATAATTACATTCTATTACTCAGCTTTAATAAATAATTCTCAGATAAAGATATAATATAAATTATATTAATTGATAATGTTTTATTTTTATTTGTACAGTATTATTTTAAATACTAAGTTAAATAAATAAAGAATTTGGACAATTTTTAACATAAATCTGGTTAAAATATATTTTATGCCTAAATTCCATGATCCGAATAAATATCCATCTAAAACTAGGGTGTCATGATTAATATTCAATAGATAAAATAACAACTAACCTCAAAAGTTAACTTGTTTTGTTGAGCATCTTGGAAATTCCACATTTTTGCAACTACGTTGAACAAATAGTCTTCAACGAATGCTATGGTAGAGCTGAACCTGGTACGTACTTGTTGAGCGGCGGCCGTATCATTGTTTAACCGCCTATTGTTATCGTAGCTGTGAAAATTGTACAATACTTTTTATACTAAATCGTTATTATTATTATCATTATACATGAAAAATACATTCTAAATTACTCACTCGTCAATGCTTATTTTTAACGGGATCTCGGACCACAGTCTGGCGTATTTGACAGGAGTGACAGGTTCTTGAGGGTCACGATCTACATGCAAGTGCAACATTAGCCGACAAAATGAAGCACGTAAATCATAACGGACATTTTCATCAGCCATACATCTGTTAATGTAAAAATAATAAATATCATTCAATGTAGTCATAGTGTATAATTATGTGAACAAAATAAATATACAAAAAGGTATAACATATAGTAAAAAATACACTTATTTAGAAACAGTATCTTAAGCTAAAGTATTCTTTCATAAATTATAAGTTAATAGTAGTATTAGATGGATAAAAAAAAATTCAGAATCGGTTATAAAATGTTTACATTGGAAACATTCAATAACAAATTAATCTACAATTGTTTTTACATTTTAAAAATGTTCAGTTATAATTAATTACGTATGCAGTTTTCAGAAATTGTAAAAAAAAATAACTTAACACAGACAAAATTAAAACTTAATCAAGTATAAATCATTTAATCATTAGTAAAAATTAATATTATAATAACAAAAATTAATTATGTCCCACATAGCTATTTCCTATCTATTAACAACTCAAGAATGAAAAAATATTCAACAAAATGTGTATGCAAGCATTGTTTTTAGTCTTGTATTTTTGAAGAAAATGTTTAATGTTAAAAAAACAAAACGTAACTAAGTGACTATTATTTTTCAGTTTATTATTTGCTCATGCTACATTAAGAGGATGTCTGCTCACCATTTATTTTCTTTCTCTGACTCACACACAACATAGTAAATTTACATTCAGCAGAACTACAATCATTTTTAAATTGTAATAATAATTAACACGTCCATAACTAAGGCAAAATAGAATATCATAAAATAGCTAACGTTGAAGGAACACAATGTTCTTAACTTAAAGTTTGATGAAAGATGGGTTCAGTATAATATTAAATGTAACAACATAAGGTTGGTTCTGCTGAATGAAAAATTTATATGTTGCATGTGGGTCAGAGAGAAAAAACAAATAGTGCTCTGACATCATCTTAAAGACAAATAATAAAAACATATATTTTTGAAAAGTTAACTACATTTATTCTAACTGTCTTTAAAATAAACTATATACTGTTGCATTGGTAAACCAAAAGACAACTATGTGATATACTATATAATATTATACACACTTAAGTATCAAGTCAATGTCTAGGTGTGGTGAAAGATTGTTCAGTGCTAAGTATTGACGGTTTAGGCACATATTTGAGAATAGGTCCAATTGATGTCTGTAGTATTCAAGCAGATGCCAATCGTCATAACCATTGCAGTTTTTTGATGCTGCTGTAGCAGCCGCACCAGCTTTGTTATGTTGGTGAAGGTGCTGTAGTTGCTGTAACTGCCAGCGACGGGCCTCTGCTGATAGGGAAACCAATGATTTGGAATTCTGTTTTCAATATAAATATGTATTTATATAAATCCATTATTATTGTTCGTCACTAGTTTTTGTAGTATTAAAAATCTGGTAAACTAACCTTTCCATTATTCCAAGATAACATGACCACTTGGTCATCATTTAAGTCAGAATCCGAAAAATCAATGTCAGTCAGTTCGTGGATATTTAATGGAGGAGCTGTTCCTCCTTTGCTGCGTTGACGCTGCAGCAATTGCTTCATCATTCTTTGGTATGAAAAATATTAAACAGAAATGAACACACTTGCATTATTAAATATAAAGGTAAGGAAACTACTTACCGGGTTTCTATCAGAATGTCGCGAGAACCACTTAACAGCACACTTTTACAGATAAGTTCCTGTGTGATGGCAATGGCCTTCTTATTCGATATGCATAAATCACTTAGGTAATCAAGGAATCTGGGTGCTGACTGACTGAATCCTCCTCCGCCGCCATTTTTTAAACGTACTAGGCCAACAAAAGTCTCGATTTCAGCAGCTGTGATGTGTTTTTCTAGCAGTTTTCGGTTATTGTGCAACAGCGCTGTTATTGTGTCCTCGGCAAGGATGTCAAGACCTATTTGTTTTTGCATGAACCCAAAATGTTTGGCTATGTATTCCTGTAAATTTTATTTTAGTTACAATATTTATTTAATGGTGTTATCACTGTAGAATAATATAATCAAATATATTATATATATATTTTTATATATGATATAGTTTATAATTAAACATGTTATAATATCTTTGTAAAATATTATATTATATTTTAATATTATAATATTTATCTGTTAAATCATTGGCGCAAGCCTGTTTCTGGTATAAAAATAAATAACACCTAACATAGTATAATGATTAATATGTATCATGTATAATAGGGTAGTAGGCAACACCTGATTTTTCCGATAATCATGCTGACTAAGTCGTAGTATTCGATAACATAGCCGGAACATATATTTGTAAGCAGCTGCATATTTTTGATTATCTCCATCTGGAGGTTCTGTTGTTGTTATTAATACGGCTGCAGCTACTCCACCACAACCCTCACGTACACCACCACTTCCACTGTTGTTTCCTCCATTATTAGAGTTTATGACATTATCCATGACAAATGGAGCTTGTAGTATCTTGAAAAGTTGCTTGAGTATGTCTTGTTCACGGAGCAATTTTTGTCTGTCTCTATTTATAATTATAATTATTGCAATAACAGCATATATTATACTTATAAGACTAATTAGTAAAAAAACTACCTGTTTGGATTCGCTACCACTAATTCTAATGCTTCTGATTTGTTTTGTTCATTTTCCATATCAGCCACAAAGTACACAATGTCCTGAAGTAGCGTTGTGACAGCCCTTTATTTTCAGAGAGAAACAAATAGGCAAGTACTGTTATTACAGTAACAAAACTGTTGTTATCATTGAATATTTTTTTTTTTTAAAACTTACCGTCTTTCATTAGCTGATATCGAGCCGTGTTCTAATAACTTAGCACTGTTACACGCCAACACTTTACATGCGTCATTGGCAAAGTCCAAATCTCGTACCTCAGACGGGGATACTGGTATCAGGGCAAATGCCTCTTTGTCATCCTTGACTGGAGCACATCCAACCTTTTTTCAATCGAGTGAAACAAATTACAAAAAAATTATAGTTTAAATAAAAAAAACATTAGTTACTTTGGACATGACTGGCTTATCTTCATCTTTGTCAATGGGAATCGATGTGCTGTGGACCCACGTATTGGTACACAAATGATGGAGACGAACATATGACGACTGCGGCACTACTGAGTCTAAATTGGCAGGTTGATGATGTTGAATTGCAGCCATTGCTGTAGTGCCGTAACCACCACCATAACCTGAAATTGCTTGCGTTCCGGATGATCCACCATATGCTGGAGTGCCACCCGATTGTAATTGACGTGCAGCCATCCTACTTTGACCGCTTCGGCCCTGATACAGTGTTGTAGGGTCAAGTTCAAATAATGAAGATATCTCGTTCGAATGTGGCACTGACACCAAGTGATATACAGGTCCACCATGAACATCTTTGTGTATAAATCACCACAGAGAGAATTAAATATTTAACAAATAAACCGATGAAAATATAAACAAAATTGAAGAACCTCTGAGTTTTGATCGCATTTGATCCATAGTTTCGTCGTCGTCTATCTCAGCAGCTAGATAGTGGCCTGTTGCAAGGTGCTTAAACCGAAATAGACAGTTCCAATGGCCGGCACCACCACGACAAGGGTCATGCTGTACTACCTGCGTAAAAAAAAAAATTTGCATTTATTATTTAAGTATTGCTTAAATACTATTTAAATACAATTAAACATAATAAAGAGAAAATAGGACTTCGGTAGTGACAATGATGTCAGTATTTAATTAAATAATATGTAATAAAAATATTAATTTTAAGAGAACATAAAGAAATAAAATATTCATACAAAATAAATGTGGGAGACAGTCCTTCGTGTAAAAACAACACATAGACAATACTACTAGGTCTACTAATGCCAGTATCATACATTCTGCCAAGATGATAATAATGTCTGTAATCTGTACTATATGTACATATAATGATACACACAGTCGTGCATGAACTGAGTTATCGTGATTCATATTGACAAATTACTCAAGTGACACTTTTACGATAAAGAACTATATTAAGATAAATTATATAATGTAGAATGTAGATTATAAAGAGCCGCGTAATTGTAGAAGCAGACAATAATCAGAACTGTATTAAAAATGATTTTAACCACATGGACCTAACCAACTATGAAGGAACCTGTACGATATAGGGGCTTATATGAGATAATTTTACAACGTCTATATCAGGGATACTCAACATTTTTTAACAGTCAAAAAATAAAAATAAAAAGTACAACGGAAAAAACGGCATAATTTTATATTTTTTTTATCGTGTTTATTTATTTTTACAACCTAAAATTATAGATCACCGCCCGTGGGCCACATTAAGGGTGGCAAGCTTATAATGTTTTAAGGATTAATATTTAAGAAAATCACATGACATGACAATTTGGACTATGTCTAAGTGTGAGAAGTAAATGCCCACGGATGCAACTCTAGCACGCGCCCGCGCATGTCAATACTTCGGCGAAAAATGAATTATATTCTTGTTTGCAGAACAATAAAAACTACTAAGATCGGTATTAAATTAAATATACTACCAGAAGTTTGATTTCGATTTTGAAAAAAAGCTTGAATTTATAACTTCTAAACTATGTTCTTTAGGAATCACTTTTTTGATTTAAAAACAGATGGGCAAAAAAAAATATACAAACGTAATGCAATTATTTTATGGGATTTTTGAAAAAAAATCTTAATTTAGTTGGGCTTTATAATTGAAAAACGACTACCTAAAAGGCCTGGATATTTTGTCAAAGAGTTCATACATGTCACAAGTACATTCATACACATAAAAACAGACATTCCGAAGTATGTGTAATTTACCACCACTTATTGGTCTAAATCGTATGAAAAATACGTGTGCTGCGATAACCTTAAGTGCAGTCGTGGGTCAAATTTGTCCCAAGGGCCATAGTTTTCCTATTACTGGTCTACATTATAATTATAGTTACATAAATCATAATACTATTATACTAAAGTTTTATAGTTAAAATGATAAATAAAATATAATGTATTGTACCTATATTAAATAAGTTGTAATACTATATTTATTAAAATAATGTTATCATAGAAAAAATTAATATTGATTTACATAATATACATAATAATTACTCGGGGTTCACCTTCGATCTCCTACTAAAAGAGCGAAGTATATATCAATGGTTTTATTAAAATCTGTCGTTTCTCTAAATCGGATGATCGCGATATACTAAGAAAATCTATATAATATAATATAAGCGTATTATTTTAATCTAATTAACATCAAATTTTACAAAATATGAACGGTTTAATAAAATAGAGATCAATTACTAGAAACTTCAGATTTTAAGTGTGTACACTAGTTGAAAAATGAGGACCCCGTCCCAAGTTATAAATCGTAAGAAAAATTAATATGTATAGGTATTAATAACAGTGTTTAAATTTTTCAGAAGAGTTTAGACTTTATAATATTATAATATGCTCCAATTAGTTATTAAGTACCTACCTAAAAAACAAGGCACTCGAACTCTATTATGGTAAAAATAATTATTAAATATATGTGTATACATACACTAGAAACATCTAAAAAATGCAGTATAATATGAAATTATTATTTGATATTTATATGGGAATTCACATGAAAAATGTGAGAGTGGGTACTGCTCTGCTCAACAGTTGTAGATGTCTAGAATAAAATCATTGCATACGAAAAGCCTATATTACTAATAATATTTTATAAAAATTTTTGTTATTAAAGTAATTTATTTTACAAATAACTAAAATCGTAATTTTTTGTTTAGATATCTATACAAAAATTGTGATTAAATAATATTTTTGATTTTTAGATTCTGAGTGGAACGATAAATGTATAGATTTTACAATGATGTGTGTTTTTTTTTATTTTCGATTCTGAGTGGAACGATGAATGTATTGTTTTTACAATGATGTGTGTTTTTTTTTATTTTAGATTCTGAGTGGAACGAGTGTGTTTTTATATTTTTTTATTTTTGTGTCTGTGTACACGAAAAGTAGTCGAAATAATGCTTCGATTCTCGACTTCAGTATCTTGTTCGATTGGAAAGTGAATTTCGTTGGTGCATTGAGGAGGTCAAAATTTAAAATTCCCAGTACTTTTCAAAAGCGCCAAGAAAGACAAAAGAACAATTAAGGAAAAACGGGAATTTTTACGCAAAATCGATTTTTCAGAAAATTGAATTTGGTTTTTGGTGTAACTTTAAAACAAATGACCGTAGATACATGAAATGTTCACTGGTTGTTTATATTTGCATTTTCTATACACGATAACATTTTCAAAATATTTTGATTTATTTTGAACTGTTTAGGGTAGTTTTTTTTTCTAGAAATATCAATAAAATTTTATTTGTTGGTTAAAAATCTTGAAAATTTAATAGAAGGCTCCTAGTATATTGTTTTAAAGGCAGATGAAAAATATTAAAAATCGTTAATTTCAGTTTTTTTTTATAAGCATTTAAAGTTTAAAAATTGACAAAATATGGAAAAATCACGAAAATTAGCAAATTATTTTGAGTTAAGAATTCGTAAAAATTTTTCTTTTTAAATCTAAGATTTGAAAATGTAATACAAGATTCCTTATAAGATTATCTACCTTTATCAAAACAAAAATGTCTAAAAGAAAGTCAAATTAAATTTTTATGAGCGAATGAAATTCAAATTTTTACAACATTGGATATTCACTCGATTTCTCATGTAGCGATTTCCTTATTTTGTTGTAATTCAAAAACGAATAACTGTAGGTACATGAAAATTTCACTGAATATTCATATTAGCATTTTCTATACACTGTACAATTTTGAAAATATTTTGACTTTTTTTGAGCTGTTTACGGACATTTTCAGTTTTAATTTTTTTAGTTTTTTTTTCTATAAATATCAATTAAGTTTTATCTGTTGGGCCAAAAAGTGTAAAAATTTAATACAAGGCTCCTGATATATTGTTACAATAGCAATTGAAAAATTTTAATAATACATAAGCACAATTTTTTTTTATAAGCATTTAAAGATCGAATTTTGACAACATTTATCAAAATCTCGAAAATTATCAATCATTGTAATTAATAAATTATAAAATGTTCAGTTTTTTTAGCTAAGGATTGCAAATTTAAAACAAAGGTTCTCATAAATAGTTCATACTGTAACCAAAAAATCTAAAAAATATATGAACACAGTTATTTTTTACAGACATTTTAAATTCAAATTTGGACTAAATTACATAATAAAAAACCTAGAATAACTATTTTAGTTATTTTGTTGTGATTGTATAATATTTTTCGTGGGTACTTGAAACTTGTAAAGTATACTACTATATATCTATGATAGTATGACGGTTTGTTATATTGATGTATAACGCATTATAAGTTCCTAATGGATATTGTTATTTGATTAATTTTAAATTTATTATAGGTACCTATTAATTTTTTTTTAATAATATAGATATATAATATGTTTTATACCTAGACTGACTTACCGTCTGTGATATTATATTATTGAATTCAAATTTAATACCATCCATTATACAGTGACCCAATTGTAACGTACTGTACAGCCTTTTTACATTTTAAATTTGATATAAAAGTTGAGAAATATCGAACTTAAAATGTTTGTAAAAAAAATTGTGCCTATGTATTTTTAATATTTTTTAACTTGTTGTAAAAATATAGGTATCAGGAGCCTTGTATTACATTTTCATGCTGTTTGACCAAACGAATAAAAATGTATTGACATTTATAGAAAAAAAATTACACAAATTGAAAATTGAAAACGTCCGTAGATATCTCAAAACTAGTCAAAACATTTTGAAAAATTTTATCAAGCATATGAATTGATAAAATAAACATATGGTGTAAATTTCAAGTATCTACAGTTATTTGTTTTTGGATTACAGCAAAAAAGAAAATCGATACATGAGAAATCGAGTGTAAACGATGTTGTAAAAATTTGAAAAAACAGAAAACTGAAAATATCCGTGAACAGCTTAAAACAAGTCAAAATATTTTGAAAAATGTATGGTGCATAGAAAATGCTAATATAAACATTGAGTGAAAATTTAATGTTTCTTCGGTTATTTTTTTTGTAGTTGCACCAAAAACCAAAATCAATTTGTCGAAAACCTATTTTGCGTAAAAATTCCCGTTTTTCCTTATTTTTTGATTTAATTTTTCACGGCACTTTTGAAAACTACTGGGAAATTTTTAATGTTGACCCCAGAAAGTCAATTTACTTTTCTATTAGAAAAGACGATTTTGGAGAAAATCTAAGGATTTATACTGTCCTAAAAGGTGATGACAGACACAAAATTAAAAAATTTAAAACATGCATCATTGTAAAATCAAGAAGTACCTTCATAGCTCCACTCAGAATCTAAAATTTAAATTTTCAAACGTCTGTAAATAGCTTAAACCTGTATAAATATTTTTAAAAGTACATTATTTATGAAAAATTATAAAATACGCATTTGGTGAAAATATATTTTATCATATCAAGTATATACAATTATTTGTTTTCGAATTGAAATAAGAAAATTGTTTGATGTGAATTAATTAATTTACAAGTGAATATTCAATATCAATAAAATTTGAACTTCAATCGCTCATGAAAAATTAATTTGACTTTATATTACACTTTTTGTTTGTTAGAAGTAGGACAATTTATGAGAAATCTTATATTTAATTTTCATTTTTTTGATGAATGTTGTCAAAATTTCACTTTTTTTTCAAAACTTCAAATGTTAAAAAAAAAATATTGAAATAATTAAATTTTTTTTTTAAATTTCAGTTACAACAAACTTAACTCGACTATAATTAAAAAAATCCACGTAAAAATCGAAATTTTCTTTATGCCTAGCTATAATAGCTCAAAAAGAACCAAAATATTTTGAAAATTGTACGGTGTATAATAAATGCTTATGTAAAATTCGGTGAAAATTGTAAGTATTTATGGTTGTTTTTTTTTTTAGAGTTACACTAAAAACCAAAATCTATTTTTCTTAAAAACTCCCGTTTTCCCTAAGCTTTTGAAAAGTACTGAGCATTATACTTCCTCAGTCTATTGTATCATTTATATCTTTAATAAATAAGTTACTCGGCCTCGAACCGTTATCAGAATGTCGCATTAGGTCTTGTGTAAATTTCACCCAAAGGCAGTCCAAATTCTCTAAAAATGACAATATTACTAAAGTCTTCAACTAATACAAACCAATGATCTTTCGTAGCAAGACCACATTCTTCTATCTTGTAAATATTGTTTAAGTTATATGTTACACTCATCTATTTTTATCTTAAATCACTAATGTTAAAATCCGAATAGCGTTAATTTATAAATAAATAAGTAAATATTCAACTAATTAATATTTTAACAAACGGTGGTAATAATCATTGACAATAACTTACTTCAACTTCCCACAGTGCCTTGCTTGACGTTGCTGCAGTGGCTGAAGTCCGGCCAGTTGTTCGTAAAAATACATGTTGTTGTCTTTTATACTCATCCATTGTAAGGAACTTTTCCTGTTCAGCATGAAATAAGCGCAGAACATCTCCTCCTTTCAACACATCGTCTTGATTATCACGGTGCTCCATGAATAAAGTTACCTTCCATGACTGCTGTTGATACTGTTGAATCTGTTGATTGTTACCGTGTTGAACATGATGATGAATGGACGAGCCTGTGGCAGCGTTGACAACATTTACCTGAATTCCATAACATTATAATATTTTATATATTAATAACTAATTGTACCATGAAAATATTGAAGTAAATTCATAATATAATAATATATCTTATAAATGCCTATTACGATGACAAATAGATAACCAATTTTTTTATACTAAGTAGTATTTTTTTAATCTCAAAAAATTAAAATATTATAATTTTATTGTTTATTTCAAAATGTATTATTATTTATTTATAGGTATCTACTTGGTTTGGCTTTTGTCATTTAAAGCGGGATTTTAAACAATTAAGGATTGACAAAAGTGTATAGTTTTAGATAAAATAATTAGAATAAATTAATTTACTATGAAATTTGAAATTTAAAGTTGAATGTAAAAAACTAAAATCGTCTTCATTGTTTGAAATTCTTTTTTATTAATTCATAATGTATTATAAAAATCCAAGTGTATAATAAGTCATAACATATTATGATACACTGTATAGTAATTACATATAAAGATTAAACAATTTAATAATTTAAACTAATTGATTGATAGATAATTATCAATAGAAATATATAACGGCTAAAATTTAATATGTTAATTTTAATATTCATAAAATGGTTTCTTTTATTTCAATGATTCCTTTTTTTTTTTTTTTTTTTTTTTTTCTTCGTGGTATCGAGAACCAGAGGGGGGACCGCGTTAGCATTACTTCCCCTCAATATCAATGATTCCTGTGTTATAATCTATCGATACTACTGTTATAATATTCTTAAGTTAATTAAGTATTGGCAATTGAAATTGATAAGACGTAACGGGGGCGCTGTGAAACATTTATATTATGTTATTTTACATGTTCCCCGTTACAGATCCACCCCCTGCCAGCCTGTTAATTGATAAGCTGTCAATTGCCAATGAGATCAAATATTTAATTATAAAAAAATTATTGATTTAATATTACTCTAATTATAGCATATAATAATTAAGGTTAAGACAATATGACAGTATAAAACTATTAATTATCAATGATATTATACATATTACATTCCAGTATACCACACAAATACAAAATAAAATAAAGGAACATAATAATAGACATATAAATAAATGGACTGTGCTTAGAGAAAGAAATCATGAAACCGACATTGACGAGAGAGATATAAGCAGAACACAAAATGTATAAGAGACATAATTAATAATTATTATTTCTTTCATGACTAACCCCAAATATATCCATTTCACTTGTTCAATGTACATTTCTGTTTCTGATAGATGAGTGGTGAGGAAAGCGCAGTCAATTTATTTATATGTCTATGAATATAACATGGAGATAAAAATATTTCTGACCTCTTTGCAACCCGGATTATCGGGAAGCTCATAATTTCCAGCAACATGCAATGCAACTTGTTGTTGTTGATGATTATAGTAGCCACCACCTCCAAAGCTGCTACCGCCAAATGAACCAACGCCACCGAATCCTCCTCCTCCACCAAATCCACTGCTTCCACCGAAGCCAAATCCCATTGTACTACCCATGGCACTTCCCAAACCAGGTGTACCGAGTGATGCGCCACCGCCGCCAACACAGGCCGGCACCATGGTGACCTTATCTCCAAGAACAACATTATCACCGGTAGAACGCAGTTTATAAAACGGCATCACGTACCACCATGAGCCCTCGTTACCATTTGCATCAAGGTAAACACGCATGGCATTTTTTTCCAACAGGGCAGGTAGGCGCTTGTTTACAGTCAAATATTTATTGGATTTTAAATGTAGAAGCTGTAACAGGTAGAATGGTTGTAAAAAAAAATACTCAAAGTGGAAATAAATTACATACCTGTACAACAGTGCCATACTGGATTACAGTCCCCAATAGTTTTCGGTTCTCTGACTCATTCTGGCGCTTCTCTATCTCAGCAGCATGCTACAAAAGTGCAGTAATTTAAATATGATATTTAACACAGTAAATAATATGCAAAGTATATAATCTTTGATTTTATATAGATGTTTTACAACAGTCCAGTAATTTTAAAGTATAATAATGTAACACTTCATAGAATTATATTTTACTTTGATAAAATGTTCTAGACATGATACTAATATGTATAGTACTATGTATGTCACACTTCTGTGGGATGATGACAGAAGCTGATATGTACATTTTCTGAACTTAGTTTTGCAGCTACATATATTAAAAAAAAATGAGATATCAGTTTTTGTCTTTGTCTTTGCACATAAATGGCGCCACACACATAATAGAGACATATCATATTTTTCCACCACTTGAAATATAATAATACCAATAATACCACTTGATTTCTAAACTATTTAAATGATAATTAAAACATTAATAAAATGTACATCAGCTTTTGTCATCTTTCCACAGACTTTATAATTTCTTATTTAATGTTTCCCATAGAATCATGGTAGTTAGTAAAGTTGTAGATATGTACACATGTATTTTTTGACATATTATATAATATATATGAATTCAAATCAGTGAGTACCAGTAAGAAATTAAATTAATAAAAATGCTATTATTCACTTTGTGCCAACATATACAATAATCTAGTCTATAATTATGACTTATGTGTAGTATAATAGTAATATTTTATTCATACTAATACCTACTTATAAAAATATATTAAATGTACAAAAGATACTTACATGTAAACGCTTGATTAAAACAGTATCTGTGGCTATCGGAGGCCCTACTGTTGTAGATGGTCCTAATGGTCCTATTCCGGGCGGAAATCCATTGCCACTCAAACGCTGATGCTGCTGCAGCTGTTGTTGCTTTGCTGCCTTCCAAAATTGTTTTTGTGCTGAATACCGATTCATTGGGCACATCATAAAGAGGCAGTCTGAAGGAAAAATATTAGAGAAATACACATAAATTTAATCATAAAGTCACAAACATTTCTATTGACTATACTAAATTATACATATATACACATACCTCGGAATTTTTTTGGTGGGTTGTTTAAGTCACCGGCCTCTGGACAAACAACAGCTCTATCATCCACCAGACTATTAATGAAAAAAAAAATGTCTTTACAATGTACAATAATATTATGGGTAGGTACTAAAATGTGGTATATTATAATCACCCCAAGGTGCTCAAGAATCCTGACACACTGCCTTCTGAGTACAGCGACACCACATCACCTAAGTGCAGAAAGCTACTTGCAGCTGAGGAAGATGAAGAGGCAGCCGCTGCTGCTGCAGAGGATGCTGCAGCTGCAGCCGCAGCAGCTGCCGCGGCTGCAGCAGCGGCTGACGACTGGTGTCCGCCACCACCTCCTGGTGAAATCATCATCTTAATGACTTGATTTTGTTATTTGTAGTTTTTGAACATGAGCTATATGCTACCAACTTGCACCGAAGATGAAATAATCCATGACAATCAGTAGGCACTCTAAAATACACACTAATGGTTTTTTATTTTTTTTTTAACAAAGTCACACAGTACAATACTCTATTCAATAGACCATGGCATACTACATGGAACCACGGAGCTGTTTAATTATAGTAATTGGTCAAGGGAAAAATGAGTAACGCAATGTACAGTACCTATGTGGGAAAGTGGAGAATAATCAGCCAATACTCAGCCGTTCTTACAATGTCCGGTAAAATGTCGGTTAACATAAACTGACTGTTAACAGATTTTATTACCTGCAGAATTCAGCCTGTTAACTTAAACCGGACATTGTAAGGTTCCTAACGGCCCTAAATTAATTGTGAACTGAATAAATTGCAATATTGAGAATGCAAACGCTCAGATTGGAAGTTTATTTTTCGTGTGATCATTCAGGCTTTAAAATAACTGTGAGGAGGTCACAAATTACAGTATTATTTTGAATAATTTCTTACCTGTGAGCGGACGTACCGGAAACCGCAACAATGTGCCCGAAAAATACAGATCAGAAAGAAAACCGTTGGGTATTGCAATCGACACGTAATTCGATTATTACTGTCGTACTTGAGGTGAAGTGTGATGAGTAATTTTCACTATCGGTTACATCCGTTTGTTCTTTACTTCGTTATCGCGGCAGGTGCCACCGCGTCCACCGCCAGTTCGGGTGTACACGTGCGCGTTAAACCGGCACAACAAGTCCGATCCAAAGTTGAAGGACGAGCCAGCTAGCGACCGCTGCACCACCAGGTCAACGTCGAGCTAACAAGACCCTCCGCCGCTGCTGAAGTCGTAAGCTCTAGGCCGAGGATATTCAACGTGCTGAAAACGGACACAAAAACCGCAGTCCAAGACGTCTCGGGCGTTGTACACGTCTTGTATCTGGCGTAGTCTTAAGACGATCGAATTAAATTATGACACACACACATAATAGACATGGACACACACACGCACACACACACACACACACACACACACACATACACACAGACGCACGCACCTGACAATATAATATTAATCACGTCGATGACGAGTTTTATACGCTTGCCATCGCAGCCAAACGTATTAGTTATATTTTAATATTAGGCGTTATTAATTATTATTGTACGATATTGTGATGTACATAATATTCCATGTAAATATTATATATATAATATGTAAGTATGCGTGTATGTGATATCAGATACCAATCGCTCGCCGACTTTATCAGATTCGCAGTCCGACGGAACGCGGCGACGTGGTTATCAATCGCTACTGTTATCATTCACGATGTTGACCTACATACCTTAACTACTATTATTATTATTATTATTATTCGTTACTCCGTTCTTATCACCACCGAATACCGATTGACGGACAGAATAATAATAATATGGACTACCTACGACAATTGCAGATTACAGGACGATCACGGAGCGGTCTCTCTCTCTCGGGTTCGGAGCTTAAAATCTAAATAGAATCTCCGTGACGGTCACGACCAAGTACAATGATCTTGTACGTCGTCGCGGCGTTAATAACAATCACATCGTTGTTTGCTTATTTGCTATACGCGCCGACAAGGACGACGCTGGCGACGACGGCGGCGACGGCTACATCGACGACGAGTCATACAAACAAACCGGTCAACATAAGCCATGTTATGTAAGTGTAAACTGGGTACGTGCGCAAGGCCGATCCGTAAAGGAATAAACTAACATTTTGTGCGGGCGACCGGCGATAATCCGGGAGCGTGTTTAGTGTACACGCGTCTGGATGTTTGTTTGTATTTGTTTGTTCGTTGGTTCTTCTGGTTGTCAACATCACTAACGCGCGTTTATCTTAATACTAAAGGTCGACTCGTTTTTTTACGACGGCGCGATACGTGTTTAGGTACACAACTGACACAGTATCTCGTCGTCACTGCCACCGCCGCCGTCAATGTATATGAAAATAACAACGTAGTAATCAGCTAGCCACAAGTCATTAGCGATAACGAGTAACGACGTAATTGCTCGTGCTTTGTTACAACGCAGTAATGTTGTTATAATAATATTATGGAAAAAAATTGTCATCAAATGTAATATATCATATTATTGTTATCATGATAATTATATTATTATCATCGTATCGAAGTGCACCGCCGGTGTGGTGTGATTAGCATGGAGGCGTGAATGATCACGGTCGGTTGGCGGAAGCCGTAACAGCAGGCTGTGTTGGCGGCACCGGTGTGTCAGCATTCGGCGGTCACTATCGATCTCTCTTTTTCGTTTACTATCGAATGTAATTCGATAATTTAAATGAGCTGGCCAACGACGCGGCCTTGTACATTACGAGTACATTAAAACAATCGGACACAATGTCGTTTGTCATATTTAATGTTTTGATCATTGTACACAAAAACAGAATGCTTTAACATATTTATATTATTCATATATTATTTTTGGATCTAAATACAATATTAGAAATTGGAATGGTCCGTCGCTAATCGATTTTATGACTGGCTCGTTATTTTTATGACTATCGAATCTTCTGTTTGTACTATATTATAATATCGAACTTTTCAATAGAACGATTCGATTGTGCCTGTGTCGCTAGCCCGGTGAACTGCTGTCGCCCGTCAGGAAGGAGTCATTCGAATCGTCCGCGCTGTACAGGCAGTTAGTGCACTCCTCTCATTCTTTTTTTTCGTACGTAGTTTTCCCCTCAAAATTTTCCAATGATCCTGTTAAGTAGTTTTTTCCATAGTTGTAGTGCGTGTAATCGCTAGTGTGACTTTATAGCTCATTTCTGGCCAGGCCACAATCGTTTACGCTGGAAAGGGCCGTGTCACTCGATCGTATCGTAATTTTTACGATTACACTCCGGTATCGTTTCTTTTCGTGGATTTTGGTTATCAATTTCGATTTTCCATATTCACCCTACGCCAGAGTGCTGTTTCGCGCCATCTTCAACGGTCTGTTCTCGAGCCACGCACGCCTTTCCCGCATATCTGTCAACCGACGGCGTCGCACAAAATACCGAACTTTCATTCACGTAGGCGCTCGCGTTGAAAATTTCATGGCACATTATTTTTAAACTACGATACCACGGTTACTAATTACAAAAAAATGCGTCACCGTCGTCACCACTAATACTGAAGATACCAATAGCCACTACCGTCCACTACGCATTGGCAATGCATTTTATTTAAATACCGAAATAAAACATTTTCGTATTACTATATTAGGCACAAACGAGTCGACGACGGGGCCTTTACCAAGGCCAGACAACGATTATCGGCCACCACCTGGGCTACACCGATATTCGTTGCACAGGCCTCTACCAGGGTTACTTCCGTTGCAGACGAGACCAGCAGTGATTCGACCTCCACCCGGACTGTACCGGATATTACCACAGCAACTAGTAAACCAGGATCCACAGAGATCAGCATTTCGGCCACCACCTGGACTTCACCGATTACCTCCTGGACTGCACCGATTACCTCCAGGACTTTCGCCAATATTACCACAACAACCGCAACCACCACCACCACAACCGCCACAACAGCCACAACCACCGACATAGTAAGTATGCCTATACCATTTTTTCACCGTAATGATGAGCTGTGGGGTGATGACGAAGAGCGAGAACGTAGACAACAGAGATTCTCTTTGATATACTTAGATGACTTTGTGCGAATGGAGGAAAACGATTACCGCCGTCGATACGGCCTCCGTGTCATACAAGGGCGACCATGGTTACTCCGCGGTGCGGGTCAAGGTCCGCTAGAATTATACGAAAGAGGGGAAGAGCTTTACACACCACTATTTACCGTTATGTTAGTGCCGTCCAACCTCGAGGACCCAAACGAAGAACTCGAGTTTATGCTCGGAGATCCACTTGATCCAAATCGTGGCCTACCACTCGACATGGATGCCAACAACACCGCGGAAATGTTAAACGAACGCTTTCTCCAAATGGAACATTTGATAATCAACGACCAAGATACTGTAGACGCCATACAAAGGTTGCGGAACACGCTGTCCACCCAGGACTCTACCAACTGGATCTTGTTGATTGTAATAATAGCCACGATGCACCCGCATCCGAACGACCCTCCCATGGTTCGGTTTAACCCCGGCAGATTGTCGATCAACCGAGCCGCTCGCATGTTGGTGGGCTCCCGTGGTATAGTGCATGGTTGGTCTGGTGACATGCCAAACATAATAAACGCGTTACAACAACACGGTGACTTTTCGCCATTCATATGGTCGTACGAATGTTCTATTGACGCCGAGACGGATGGAGACAGTTCGTTTGACTCAGATTCCGTCGGTTACGAGAGCGGCAGTTGGAAAAGCGGGCCTCGTGGGGTGGCCCGTGGCCGCCCACCGGTTACCGGCATGTCATCTTTGAGCGAGGCGTCCACCGTGATTACCAGCGACAACGAATCCGTACATCGGATGGGCACTGTGAGCAATGCCGATGACGCGGATGGATCTTTCAGGCTTAAGAGATTCAAGGGCTACATGAGACGTTCGGCCATCGAACGACGTGAGCGCCGAGCCATGAGGCGGGCGAGACGCGAGACTCGTAACCACTACGACTGGCAGCGACGACTGGAAGATCCTGCCTACGACATGGAGGCTAGACGTGCCGAGATATTGGCTGCTGAGAGTTGCCGCAACGAGAGTCGCGCCCAAGAATTGTTAAACGCCGAACGGAAAACGGAACGTGTCTTGCACTGGTGCCAGACCCAGCAGGGCATAGTAGCTGGCATGGACAGCCAGTTGTCTCCCAGCGACGAGCTGGTGGATTACCGGCTGAAAGACTTGAGACAGTCACTTTGTGAACAGGTTTCTCTTACTTGGATGCAATTTTATGGGGACCAAACGGCTGCTGAAGCGACACCCGAAGAGGTGGACCAATTGGTATTTGACTGCTGGATGACGCCGGTCCGGTGGATTCGCCAAACTGGCCCCAAGTGAGTTCTATTTTATGATATTATACTTAATTACTTATATATTATAATCCGGGGCATTTTACTCGAGTTCCGATATTTGGAAAAAAAGGTATTCGTTTAGTATGGTAATCGGAAAATTGTGTTTTGAACAAAAGAAATGAAATAGTTGGAATATTGGTACTGTAAAATATATTATTTTCAGTTGTTCAAAAAATATTTATTATTATATTAAATACATATATATATATATAAATATATATTAAATAAATATATGTGTCAAAAATAACATGTAGTTACAATAAAAATAGTTCCCAATAATTCATAATAGTTCAAAATAAAATATTAACTGACAATAGTTAACAATTAAATATAAATTCACAATAGTTTCCCTATCATATTTAAAAAAATGTTTAAATATTTTGGTTTTGGTTTATTTGAAGTTTGAATACAATTAATAACAACTTATTGTAAAATAGTAAAATACGTACTTTTTAACTTATTAGGTAAAAATGCATTTACACAAGTAAAGATTTGTTTTTTTTACTTTCCCCGTATAACACAAATTTTTTAGATTTTATGATATTCCTAAGAAGTAATAATATTAGTTCACATCAAAAACAAATATTACCTATGGACACACATTTTGACACGTGTTGAGGACGAGATACATTTAGTAATTAATACCAATTTAGTGTAAAATTATTCTTACTTATTCTTATTTATTTAATACTTGATGTTTATAAAAAACTAACCACAAAAATACATTAAAAATGACATACCTATTATTAAATAAAATTTGTAAAATAATATTAATTTATAAACACACGGGTTTCGAAATTCGGAAGTTTTAAAATGAAAAATCATCGTAGTTAGGTTATGTTGTTTATGGGTGGTATGTGTCCTGGTTAATTCAAGTGCGAAGTCCTGTTATAATCGTTTTGTAGTTCATTTCGTTTTGTAGTAAATTAAACATTAATACTTACGTACTACTATAATATGATAATTTTGGTGGGCACGTAGGCCCCCTTCAGATATACAAGGAGCACAATGTTGATGGATAAATTATAGGCGATCGATGTTGTTTCACGGGAACACGACAAATACGTATTATTTTAATTATTAAATACTAAAATTAAAAAATATAAGAACTACTTACGTATAATACATTTAAAAATTAATTTTATTAAATAAAATAATACAAAATTATGTAAATTTAATCTTAAAAAAAAAAACGGAGAGAAATAGGAATATTTTTGGTTTTTGGCTAACCCAATGAAATTTTTCATAGAATTTAAATATTAAAAACTTAATTTTTTATAATAATTTTAGATCTAAGCTAGCTAACTATAGATATAAATTTATTGAGAATAGTCCATTATAAGTTGTTTTCTTTCAAAATCTTTTAATTATTTTGTAGTACTTAATTAAATATAAATAAATTGTGGAAACTTTCAATATTTCCCTATTATATTTATGTTATTATTTACACACGGTACTTAAGTTTTCAATAACTTTATACTCACTTTAAGGTTTTTATAGACATAACTAATAATTTTAACTCAGTTTATCTTTTGTCGTTAAAAAAAGTTTAAAATGTAATACAAGAATCTTCATAAGTTGTACATATATGTAATAATTTTAAAATAATAAAAAAACGAGTAGCATATAGTCTACAATAATTGTTTTTATACATTTACAAATAAATTGGTTATTCAATCAAAAATATAGTTTTTTCGTCTATTGATTGGGTTAGTTTATTTTAATTAAAAATATATTAATTATAAAGAGACTTACTACTAACTTTTCTCCAGTTGTGTAGCACAGTTTTTTAGTTCTTATAGCTAACTATGACTGCTGGACCCCCAAGTTACAAAAGTATGGCCTTGGGTACAAATTCTATAACTCTTTAGACCTCCAAGTGGAGGGATCAAGTTTTGAATAATAAGTTTCCAATAATTTTCTTCCAAAAAGTTTCTTCATGAGTACCTGTACAATTAAATTGACTAAATTATGTAAAACTATTTGTAAGCATAGTCAATTATTATTTTAATAGATTGACTTTTTAGTCTTTACAGTGTGCTGTCCATATAATATTAAATAAATTCGATAAATAGTATATTGACAATAAATCATAAGATACCAAGACTAGTAGACTACTTATATTGTACTATATTGTCAATTGTCATATCACTTGTATTAAATAATACGCTCTAAAATCAACTAAAATCTAATAACTCGAAGTCAAGGTGATCAAATCCGAGGTCTTCAAATATATTTTTTTGAATCTGGCATAATAATTTATTGTAAATATATTTAATAATTTGAAAAACAACTATAAGGTGGAAGGAGACGGCGATAGTCGGTCATATCGCTGACTAATAATAATAGGTAAGTAATAACAATAATAATATAATATTATGTTAGGTAGTTATTAAATAGAAAATGAATAAATATATTTGTTATTCTTGGTAGCTCTCAGTGTCAATATAAATATGTAAATTGGTCGGCTAACTACAAAAGGTATTGGACCATCCTGCTCTAAATTAATGACTTAAAGAGCCTAGCTACTTATTGTCAATTTTAACTGAAAAGCCCTAAAGTATTGACAACATTAAAAATAGTTAACATTGTCCGATTTTGATTCTGAAAAAAAATTTAAATTCACCAGTTAATTATCTATATATCCTACGAAGCACTTTATGAAAACTAAATTTTATATTATTGTGAATCGTAATTGAAAACTTGAAAATATGAACTCTTTCGAATCATAATTAAAATTAATATTGAAAATAAAAAATGTTTCGTACGATCTACAGACATTTTTCTGCTGAATTCAAATATTTTTTCAGAATCGAAATCAGACGTTAACTAACTTTAATTTTGTCAAAACAAATGATGTTTTTTTATAATTCGTGTAGTGAAATTGATGTGGTTATCGACGTATTGACAGGTACATGTGCGTACGAGAGAGGTACCCCGCATTTGCTTTCACTCACACTAATTATCATTTACCACTAACACATAGATCCCGCAATGACAAGATTAGAAATTGCCTAAATGTTGCCCCTTAAATAATGACCGTAGCGAGGCCCCTTAATCCAAAATTAAATATTTCCTACATTGTTAATTTATGGTGAGGTACAATGCGTACGTTTATCGTTTTACGTCTATCCGTTCCTTTTAAGACCACATTGGCGCTTATAGTATGTTTAGTAGGTGCAATCAGGTAATTTTTCTGTGATGGCTAGAATTGTATTCTGGTAATTGATATTTTAAACTAAATAATGATTAAAAACCTGGGGGCTAAGAATCAAACTATTAGGGGGGGGGGCTAAGTTTTTTAGAAAAGACTGTAATTGACTCATATAGTATTTATATATCTCAGCATAAGTTGTCTTTAAAAATCAATTTACAATCGTAAGATAAACCCGGTAAATATAATTTTAGTTAAATACCCGATAAATATAATTTTAGATAAATACCGGATAAATATAATTTCAGTTAAATACCGAGTGAATACCGGGTATTTACCAGGTAAATTGGGTAATTTTTTTTTTTTGCTAAAACCAATCCATGGATATCACAATACTTTTTTATGATTGTTCCCTGACTTTTCCAATAAAATAATAAAAAAAAATTATGTTTAACAATAAACATAGTTGTATAGTTATCCATTGCAATAAACTAAATGATTTAAAGTTTCATTCAAATTTAACTAAATATATTTACCCACATTTTTGGTTGGTAAATATTACTGTGGGTAAATACCCAAAATATATACCTACCCGTCAGGTATTTACCCACGGCACATCACTACTCAGAGCAATCCCTAAGGCCCTGTGCCTTTGCCACAGTTGGAGAGGCCCCGCTATTATGGATAAAATAAAAAAGTCAAGTTAATGAGCAAAAAAAAATGTACCATATATATTTTACACATTCAATCGTTATAATTTGTACTAACATACCTATATTTGTTGACGTGAATTAAGTGTAAGGTACCTTAAATGGTTTAATGATTAAAATTCAATTTGAAAATTTGAAAATTATAAAAAAAAACTATCTTTGAAACACTCTGTCCCAAAAAAAGTCACTAACTTAGATATAATATTTATATTAAAAGAAATTTCTGACCAACTAAAATATAATGATATTATTGACACATTTGCTAATTTAAGACACAGGAAAGTTAATTTATAACATATTTGATTCCTAGCGGAGCAAATGTATGATTTTACAATGATTTGTATTTTTTTGAATTTTTTCTGTCTTGTCAGTAACATTTTGGGTTATAAAATTGTCCAATTTTTGAGATTAACATCTTATATGATAAAAAAGTGAATCTGGTTGGTATTTTCGAGAAGTCAAAATGGTGGTAACAAAGAAAATTTTTATTTTTATACAAAACCAATTTTTGAAAAAATCTATTTTATTTTTTTGATGTGACTCAAAAATGAATGGTCAAAACAGTAAAACCTGGAAATCTCTACCAAATATTTATATTAGCTTTTTCCATACAGGTGACTCATTATTTCAAAAAGTATTACTGTTTTTGAAAATATTTTTTTACATAGTTCCAAGTTGTTAAAAAATAAAGTTTTTATTAAAAAATTATTAATTTTTTAATATATTTTTTAGTGTCATTCACTTTTTTAATGACAATTTTAATTTCATATTCCAACGGAATTAAGGTAAAATGGTTTTTTTAATTCATAAAAATCTAATTTAGGACGATAGTACTATATGAAAGTTATAAGTATTTAAAGTGGAATAGAGTGGTATGGGGATACCCCGCAAAAGATTTGTTCACTACTCCACTTGTCAAAAACTTTAAGTACTTATAACTCATACTCTAGTCCTAAATTTGATTTTAGATTCTGAGTAGAACGATGAATGTAATGATTTTACAATGATATGTGGTTGTATTTATTTTTATTTTTTATTTTTGTGTCTGTGTACACGATAAGTAGTCGAAATAATACTTTGATTTTCAACTTCAGTAGCTTGTTCGATGGGAAAGTGACAATCGTTGGTGCATTGGGAAGGTCAAAATTTTAAATTCCAAGTAATTTTCAAAACCGCCAAGAAAAACCAAAGAAAAATTAAGGAAAAACGGGAATTTTTACGCAAAATCAATTTTTAACAAAATTGAATTTGGTTTTTGGTATAACTTTAAAAAAAATGATCGTAGATACATGAAATTTTCACTAGTTGTTTATATTTGCATTTTCTATACACGAGAACATTTTCAAAATATTTTGATTTATTTTGAACTGTTTAGGGACATTTTCATTTTTCATTTTTTTTTAGTTTTTTTTCTAGAAATATCAATAAAATTTTATTTGTTAGTTATAAATCTTGAAAATTTAATAGAAGTCTCCTAGTATATTGTTTCAAAGGCAGATGAAAAATATTAAAATTCCTTAGTCACTGTTTCTTTTTATAAGCATTTAAAATTCAAAAATTGACAAAATATGGAATAATCACGAAAATTAGCAAATTATTTGAGTTAAGAATTCGTAAAAATTTGTCTTTTTAAATCTAAGATTTGAAAATGTAATACAAGATTACTCATAAGTTTGCCTACTTTTTTCAATAAATAAATCTCTACCGGAAAGTCAAACCAAATTTTTATGAGCGTTTGAATTTCAAATTTATGTAACATTGTATATTCACTTAATTTCTCATGTAGTAATTATCTTATTTTGTTGTGATTCAAAAACGAATAACTGTAAATACATGACAATTTCACTGAATGTTTATTTTATCAATTCTTATACTTGATAAAATTTTCAAAATATTTTGACTTTTTTGAGCTATTTACAGACAATTTCACATTTCAATTTTTAGATTCTGAGCGGAGCAAGGAAGCTAGTGGTTTTACAATGGTGTTAATTTTTTTTTTCTTTTTATATCCTGTATACAAAATTTCTACCAGAAGGAGTGCTTTGATTTCAACATATAGTACCTTATCTTTTAGCAAATTGGACCAAGATGGTACTTTAGAGAGGTCATTTTTCGATTTTCTCAATAGTTATTTAATGCCACGGGAAAAAGTACTGAAAAATTACGAAAAACCGCTTAAAATGGGATTTTAATTTCTAACAATTTGTTTATCACCGTAGCAACGATTAAAAAAAAGGTGGGCAAGTGGGTGTCGCTCTGCTGTACAGTAGGTTACAAGTGGGTCACTGTATAATGGATGGTATTAAATTTGAATTCAATGATATAATATCATTGTATAAGAACAACGATTCTGAGCGGTGATGGTATGTCAGTCTATGTATAAGGCATATTATATACATATCTATGGTATTAAACAAAAAATTGACCTATAATAGGTACCTATAATAAATTCCAAATTAATCATATCACAATATCCATTAGATACTTATAACGCGTTATACATCAACAAAAACCGTGATACTATCATAGATATATAATAGTACACTTTAGAAGTTTCAAGTACCCACGAAGAATATTATTCAATCACAACAAAATAACTAAAATCGTAATTCTTGGTTTAAATATGAAATTTTGTCTAAATTTGAAATTAAAATGTCTGTAAAAAATAAGTGTGTTTATATATTTTTTAGATTTTTTGGTTACAGTATGAATTATTTAAGAGAACCTTTGTTTTAAATTTTCAACTCTTAGTTATAAAAACTGAACATTTTATAATTTTTTAATTCCAACGATTGATAATTTTCGAGATTTTGATAAATTTTGTCAAAATTCCAACTTTAAATGCTTATTAAAAAAAACTGTGCCTATGTATTTTTAATATTTTTCAACTGCTATTGTAACAATATATCAGGAGCCTTGTATTAAATTTTATACTTTTTGGCGCAACAGATAAAACTTTATTGATATTTATAGAAAAAAAAACTAAAAAAAATTGAAAGCTGTAAATGTCCATAAACAGCTCAAAAAGAGTCAAAATATTTTCAAAATTCTATGGTGTATAGGAAATTCTAATATAAACATTCAGTGAAATTTTCATGTGTCTACAGTTATTCGTTTTTGAATTGCAACAAAATAAGGATAATCGCTACATGAGTAATCAAGTGAATATCCAATGTTGTAAAAATTTGAATTTCAAACGCTCATAAAAATTTAATTTGACTGTCCGGTAGAGATTTTTTATTGATAAAGGTAGATAATTTTATAAGGAATCTTGTGTTTCATTTTCAAATCTTAGATTTAAAAAGAAAAATTTTTACGAATTCTTAACTCAACATAATTTGCTAATTTTCGTGATTTTTCCATATTTTGTCAATTTTTGAACTTAAAATGCTTATAAAAAAAAATTGTGACTAAGAATTTTTAATATTTTTCATCTGCCTTTGAAACAAGATACTAGGAGCCTTCTATTAAATTTTCAAGCTTTCGCAACCAATAAATAAAATTTTATTGATATTTTTAGAAAAAAAACTAAAAAAAAATGGAAAATGAAAATGTCCCTAAACAGTTCAAAATAAATCAAAATGTTTTGAAAATGTTATCGTGTATAGAGAATGCAAATATAAACAACCAGTGAAAATTTCATGTATATACGTTCATTTGTTTTAGAGTTACACCAATAACCAAAATCGATTTTTTGGAAAACCAATTTTGCGTAAAAATTCCGTTTTTCCTTAATTTTTATGTTTTTATGTCCAGCGCTCGTGAAAACTACTGATAAATTTTTACTTTTGACCAAAGTACCAACTAGATTCACTTTCCTATCAGAAAAGCTACTGTTTAAGAAAATCCAAGCACTTTTACTGTCTAAAACGTGATGACAGACACAAAATAAAAAATTAAAAAATTAAAAAAAACACACATCATTGTAAAATCAATACATTCATCGTTTCACTCAGAATCTAAAATTGTATGTAATCTTTGGTGCATGGTATAATTATCGAAAATTACAATTTGGCTAAAAGTATCATCAGAATCAAACATTTTTATATTTTTTTGATACAAATCACGTAAGTTATAAGCCAACTATAACAACTCATATCAGAGAAATTTGTTTTGGTCTAAACATTTTAAGTTACTTTTGACCCCCCAAAGTACCAACTAGATTCACTTTCCTACCAGAAAAGCTACTGATGAAGAAAATCCAAGCACTTTAACTGTCCTAAAACGTGATGACAGACACAAAAATATAAAAATATAAATAAAAATATAAAAACATACATCATTGTAAAACCAATACATTCATCGCTCCGCTCAGAATCTAAAATAATAATTAAATAAATAAAATAATTAATGACAATATAAAATATACAGACTGACAAACCGTCTCCGTTCAGAATCGTTTTTCTTATACAATGATATTATATCATTGAATTCAAGTCTAATACAATCCATTTAACAATGACCAACTTGTAACCTACTGTACAGCTGAGCGACATCCACTTACCTGCCTTTTTATTTTTTTTTTATGAATATCAATAAAGTTTTATCTGTTAAGGCTCCTGATAAATTGTTACAATAGCAGTTGAAAAATAGTAAAAATACATAATCACAATTTTTTTTCATAAGCATTTAAAGATCGAATTTTGACAAAATTTATCAAATTTAAAATTTAATAATTATTTTGTAATTAAAAATTTATAAAATGTTCAACTTTTATTTCTAAGAATTGAAAATTTAAAACAAGATTTCAGGTAAGTATTTAATTCTGTTACCAAAAAATTTAAAAAATACATAAGCACAGTTTATTTTTATAGTAATTTTAAGTGTAAAGTTGGACGAAATTACATTATAAAAATGTAGAATAACTATTTTAGTTATTTTGTTGGGATTATATAATATTATTCATGGGTACTTGAAACTTCTAAAGTATACTTATATATAGAAATGATAGTATCATGGTTTGCTATTGATGTATTACGCATTATAAGTATCTAATGGATATTTTGATATGTTTAATTTGGAATTTATTATAGGTACCTACTACCTATTATATGTCAATTTTTTTTAATACCATAAATATGTATATACATGTCTTAAACCTAGACTGACATACCGGCTCCGCTCAGAATCGTTTTTCTTATACAATGATATTATATCATTGAATTCAAACTTAATACCATCCATTATACAGTGACCCACTTGTAACCTACAGTACAGCAGAGCACCTTTTCTATAAATAAATGTGTAATAAATATGTCTCATAAAAACCAAAATATAATAAACTTAAGTAATAATTTATTTAGCGTTGGGTAATTATATTTTATTTTAAAGTAAAATTGTATAAAAATTTAATAAAATAATTTTATCACCCCCTTTTTAGTATAAATTTAAAAAACATACAATTTATAAACATTTTAACATTATTCATTACAATTCATTAACATATATTTTACGAAACAATTTTGTGTATATTTTTATCTCAATTTGTATACGTTGAAAATATAATAAGTACCTACCTAGTCTAAATTAGATATTTCAATATGCTAATGATTCACAAATATATTTATGGATTAGATATAATCTTGTAATATTTCACATTTTACATAGAATATTGAAAATTTGGGTTAATGTAAAATATCTGTGAGATATTTTATTACAGTCACCATTATCATTTGCTTGGTGGCTAGATTATCCAGCTTCAAGATATAGAATATAGATATATGTTCGTGATATGTTCATTAGTATATTATAACGTGCTAAAATTGTTTCTACTTTTCTTTAAACAGTTGTGGATTGGCAGTACTTGCTATGGCTGCACGTCCAATACTGACTTGTGAGGCAGCGATGAGCAGTGCTCGTGATTTTGGGGATAACTACAATGGATTAGAAGACGTTGATGAGCTAAACGAGGTGCTGAAAAAAGCCATTTTGGACTCCACAGAAAAAGAGCGACGAAAGGCTGTACACTCTATAAACAGTACAATCCATCCTGCACCAGACATTGACGTACCTAATTTAGATGATATACAAAAGGAGGCTATAAGATCCGGCTACTCTGGCCGTGGTGAAATGTTTAGCACCCAGGCCATGGCCAGTCTGGCTAAAACGCACCAAACCGGACGATACAATGTGACGCTGGTAAAGCGTGATTTATTGGATATGACAGACGAATTTAATGAAAATGACGTTGGTACTGATATAATAAGATCTGGTATTGAAAACTATAGTATTGGGCCAACCGACCTCAACATGGATGATGAAATTAACGAATTAGATCAAGACATCGCTCCACGTACGACGTCGTTTGAGAACGTAAATTTACAACCATCGTCATCTGAACTGACCGTAGTCCAGCGTCTGATGCGTGGTCACCTGATCGCTGTTTGGTAAGTCTTTTGTTTTAATTTTATTTTTTCTTAAACAGGATGGATATGGTTGGAAATACATAAAAAAATTAACATAGGTATTTACTTTTATTATTTGCATGTAGTTTTGATTGCGATAGGAGTATGATGCCGTCTTTGACAAATGGTGGAAGCACAGCACATTGGGCACTTTTATGCGGTGTTATCATAGGAAAGCCCCATAAAAGACAAGAAAAGAAAATTCAGCAACACGACGACGAGTTATCTGATGAAGATTTGTTAAAATATGGATATCTATATGCATATGATCCGAATGCGACCGAATTTATCCCAAATGGTTACATCGATAGAAGAGTACTAGACATTGAAAATCCTATTGGTAGAGCCACTACCCAATCCAGCAGAAGTAATTTGGAAAATATTAGTGTTGACGATGCTAGTATAGTAGAAGACGATTATGATGATACAAAACAAAATTTCATGGAAGACGCAAGTTATAATTCTTATGACATACCTGATCTGGACTTGAATCGGGATGCTGACCGTGTGTGGGTGATAGCCCGACATGGAAAAATAGGCGGTCGGTATGCTGTGTGGTCTCTCAAAGAGCTTGCTAAAAGTAACTATCAGTTACGAACTCCTTCAGATAAGATTTTGCATAGCATTCCGTCAGAAGTAAAAATGCAATGGGGCAACAAACAACAGCCCATCGATTGCAATACTGCCAATTTATTCTTGGAGAAAACGGAATCCATTTCGATTGAAAATAATCACGATAGTAAGACCTATTGTAATTTAGACCTAGCCGAGACTGACTATAAGTTTCTGCGTTCAGAGAAACCTATTGTCGAGTTACCAGTTGAAATTAGGCTGGAGGAAAATATTATGGTTATAAAGAATCCAGTTTCAGAACAGATACACGTGGAAGAACTATCACCACCACTAAATATAATACCAAAACCACCATCACCACCACCAATAGCACAACTATCTCCACCACTTCTATCAACATTACCACCAACACAACCATCACCTCCACCTCCACCACTACCGCCAACACAACTACCTCCATCACCTCTATCAACATCACCACCAACACAGCCGTCACCTCCACCTCCACCACCACCACCATCACAACTAATACCACCGCCGCCGCCACCACCACCGGTAGCAAAAACAAACATGTGTGATGACTACAATGAACCACCGTTTGTGTTACCTGAAGGACCTAGGCTCGATCTGTGTTTGGCCCGTCAGTTCATTTCATTTGAACCAGTCCGGGTGCCGACCATAATATCCGATGAGGACAATCAACAAACACTAAACGTGAGTAACATACTATAAGGTGCAAACTAATTACGATCAGTGTTTTTTAGCATTCATACGAATTGCCCAGGTTTTTTTTGGAGTAGGTAAACACTAATTAAAAGTTAAAAATATAAAATTGGGTAGGTTGTAGGTATAATGTGTATAGGTATTATGGAACGAATAATTCCATATTATCCTAAACTTAAATTTTACACTAAACCAGTATTTAAAAAAACAAATTTTGATTTTTTTTGTGTAATTCAATTACAAATAAACTTGAAATGTTCATAAAATTTAAAAATATTTTAGTTTCAATAAATGTAGCTAAAAATTTAAAATGATTGATTCAAAGAAAAATAAATAATGCAAACCTAAATTTGTCAACTAAAATAATTATAGTTACTTTTTATTTAACTTTACAAAATATGTAGGTAAAAGGTATGTATTACTATGAAATAATCTACACGATAATAATTAAAAAAACCATAGATTAACGAACAAAAAAATTATAGCCAATGATATTGAACGTGGTATGTAAATATGCAGGGCTCATAACTTCTAGTATTTGCATATTTCTTTTGATGGGCCGTAGAAACGTCTATGTAAGCTATAATTGTATTTCAGAAAACCAAGGAGCTAAATACGAAATTGTATGTTGCATATTTCAAAATTGAAATACTATTTTGTTTTTTTGAGTCTTTTTCAGTACCTTCAAAACGTTTAATATAGTTATATTGTTTTATATATAAGTGATACTCAACGTAGCGAGAGTGTACGCCAGCTACTTGGTAATCCCATCAATAATGAACTATAATTGTAGGGAATGCACTGTCTAGTATTTTATTTTATAGTTTCTAGTTGTTCCGATATCATTATTTTCTATTTACCTTGAAAACAAATTATTACTACCCTTATATAGCCCCACCAAAGATTTTCGGAGAGTTCGAGTTCAGTAAGGACCGACGCATCAGCCCCCCCCCCCCTAAATTGCAATAACTATTTTTACATATGGTGTCATTATAATAATGTATAGGTGGGTTGGTGGCTGCCATCAATCACGGAACGTGATTGAGAGTAAGAGGCGTCTGCCACTAGTTCCCGGATGGGTGACCACCCAGTTTTGTAGTGGCAAACACTTTGCCACGAATATCTACAGCATACCTTGCTAACCAATCGTTTCAACCGGACCAACCATTCCAATCTTAAAACCCGTACAACCGATAAAGAAAAAAATAATAATTATAATGTATAGGTTTAACTTAATATTTAAAAATAATATCGGTAGTCAAAAGTTAATACCGGTGGCATTCACATGCTTTTAAAATTCAAAAAATCTTACCATTGGCATTTTCCATACAAAAAAGTTACAATTTACAATCATCTATTTAATTGGACTTCGGAACTTTAACCACTCATTTAACGCAGAAATAGGTACTAATTATGTATTTTTTTGTTTCTTCATCCATACAGCCATTGTCCACGATCCAGTGTCACTTTTCATTTAAAATGAACCAGGATTTAAAAATATTGGATCTTACTAAAAATACTACAGATCGCTGGTCAAGGCAACACCGTCGCAAGCCTTCGATGTCATCTTCAGAAAGTAGTACGTCACCAGATCGGCAACTGACACGACCAATAGAACACTGTCCAGTGGACCATATAGCAAATCCAGAAGAACATTTTGTTCAGTCAAAATCAATGAAACAAATAATTCAATCCCAAATGGATATAAAATGGCCTCTGCAACTAAAACAACTGCAGCCACAGATTTTCTCTGAATCAATTCATCCTGAACGAATTGAATATTTATAGCATGACTCACAATCTAGATTACCACCGTCCAAGTTGTCAAAAGCTATGCGTTTGGTGATTCGAAGACGACTACAACTGCATCAAACCGAAGAAGACGAACGCTGGTCTTAGATTCCTTGGAAGATGATAACCTATCTTCTACAATTAACCCACTACCCCAACATCCATCGATGCTAATTTCCTTATCGCATTCTTAATAGGAGGTTCGTCAACACCACCGTTCTTCTTTGATTTGAGTTCAACTAGTTCATAAATTTTCTTTCACATTCGCCAATGTCTTACTAGATGCTCTACTTAGCAAAACACATGTTTCACATTATCTGCTATTTCAATGTTTATAACAACTTCGTTGGATTAATTACGACAGTCACCTTTTAGTAAGTAACAAAGTATGTTGCATGAATTTTATAATTTGTATACAAATAAATTGTATTATAAATTGAAAAGTATAATTAATTTATAATTTCCTATTTTAATATAGTAAAACTATAATTTATAACTATGATAATATTATAATTGTGGGATATATAGTTTGTAGTATATAGTATATAATACACAAATTGGCAGGGGTGGATTTATGGGGAGAGCGATGTGGTGATTTCCCCCACCCCCTGGAATTAAAATAAAATTTCTACTTATAGTAAAATCTTCATTGTACTTTATATGTCACTCAAACATATCCCTGTTCACCCTCCCTTAAATAAACTTTAGATCTTCACCTGCAGAATTACTGACATAGAACTATTATTTAATAATATTGTAATTATAGGCGTAGATAACTATATTCTACTAGATAGCCGACTCTCTTAAAATCAATGACGCCTAGCGGTCACATGCAGATAGGGCAATATTTGCAAAAAATTATTATAAATTATTTCTTATCGATAAGAAAATTATGATTAAAATAATACCTAATGATAATTTATATAATTTAAATCAGCAAGATAACCAATATTCGCTATCAAAGATCAAACATATCAATTATCATATCTGCATTAACATCAGTTTGTTAACATTGCCCTAATTGCATATGGCGATCTATTTGATATATATGAGTGTATATTAACATTTGGATTCGGCTATCTAGTTTAATATAGATATCTGTGGTAATAGGTTCTTGAAGTATATAAGTAATATCGTATTGCTAAATTATAGTTAATTAGCATAGTATAACTTTAATTTATCAATTTTAAAAATGTACAATCGTCATGATGTGACTAATTCCATTTTGAACGATGTTAATTAAACTATTATGTAGGTACTACTAATATTTTTAATAATACTAATATTGAAAACATGGGTTTCCATCCTCCGCTCCGGCGAGCAGTCGATTATTCGAGTGATAAACATTATTTCAGTACCGCCGACGAGTAACTAAAATTATTTATGTATCTCATAACTATATGAACAAAATCCGTGATTAAGCTACAGGGTAAAAAATAAATAGCCTAATATGATACTAATCCGTACTTGTGACGAAATAAATATTAACATTCAACTTCGATATGTACCTACAAACAAATTGTTAATCAGCTTATTCCTAAAAATAGTAAATACTAGCCTTATATTATATAAGTAAGCATTATAATTTATTATGGTTAGTGTTAAGGCTAGTATAGTTGAACATAGTACCTATAATATAAAACAATATATAATTAATTCTTATATAGCATCAATAGCATCCATCAGGTACATATTATTATGCATGAGTTTTAGCTTTAAGGCTGAAATAATCACACATACGCGTTTATTATATCAACTACGTAAATCCTGCATAAAACTATATAAGTATAATTTATTCATAATAATATACTTTAGTTGAATAATTAGGTATATCCACAATAATTTGTATTTATTTAAATTAAGTTTACATTTTTAAGAATTCTTATTGACGTAGATATTTACGTTGGAATACCTATAGGATTATGAAACCTTCCTTATAGGATTCATTATATTTAAAGTTTAGAATAGTTTTTTATTTAATTACAGTATATAATAGGACGTGGGCGTTCATCAGAAAATATACATGTCACTTCCCAAACATTATTTCAATATTATAATATTCTAAGACAATATTTAAAATAATATGTAGGTAGGTACTTAACATTTTCTAAGAGAGACAATATCTAATCAAACCATATTATTCTAATAATTTAAAATTGAAAAAATAAATTAAAAAACCATAAACACGTATCATGCACGTAGTACGTGCATCTGCAGCGTATCTAAGTTAAACAAATTTAATATTCGTTGAAATACCGTCATTTGGGGTTACTTTTCTCCGATTTTTCAAATTGTTTTTTGTTTTAGTATTTTATGGTGTATTAAATAAAAAAAAATATTGTGCTCCTATAGTTTGATCCTTTAGAGTTCCCAAGAACTAATTATGACCTAAATATGAGTATATCCTAATTACACAATTTGTTTTTATTTTTTCAAAAATGGAGCAATGTTAACCAATGTTAACTTTGCCCCACTTCATGAAAGGGCATAATTGTAAAATTTTGTGACAATGGAGAAATGTTAACAGTTGTAAAAAGAAACAGCACCATTAAAAACTAGGAATAACACTCTGAAACTTTTTTTCTGCCCAAACATAGCGAGAATATAGGTCAAAAAAAAGAATAATAGACAAAAAATGTATTAGTTTAAATTTTTTCTAGTACATTGAAGGCATTTTTATCTATGAAAAATTAAGACTAGGCAGGATTACCTATTATTGAGAAAAACCATTTATTATCTAATCTAAGATGGAAATAAATAATAATGATTGATGGGGAAACTTTGCGCCAAAATACTTTGGTAAAATACTAGAGCGGTTTTTTTTGCGGTTCAAAGTTACCCCAATTATGAAATTTACTTTTAAATTATTCAAAAACTGCTTAAACTCAAATTTTGATACAGCATCGTTTTCTCGATAATTTTCTGACGTCAAAGAGTGATATCTTGCCTTCAAAATCCACGTGCTCTCCGCTTCAAGTAGAAAAGTTTGAGAGCATTATTTTCTCGCGTTTAAATGTGTCATAAATGATAACGCACTAATTACAGAGAAAAATGCCTTCATTTATGAAGGTAAGATATGAAATAGCTTTAACAGTTTTTCCACCAACGCACGAACAAACATTTAATTATCACAATGTCCAAAGTCAAACGGTGTCACCAAAGTTTTTTTTTTTTGGAGCAAAGTAACCCCAAACGACGGTACTAACATTTTGGACTATTGCATTGATATAAAAACATGTCAACAACATTTTAAGTTAGTAATATATAGGTTTGATTAATTTTGTGTTCTTTGGTAATTTCACTACAAACTCATGTTTTATTTACCACCCCAAGATAATAAAATCAAATGTGGGCCCTTTCATTGTGTTTTCGTATTATAATATGTTATATCAAGTAGTTATAAACTAGTTTCTAATAATTATCATAATCGCGTATAATAACATAGGTACACGTAATGATTATTAACAGATTGTCATTGGTAATTCAAATATCAGTATAATTTATTTGTTCAAAATGGTTAATGATATTTCATACATTTTATTATTTTAATATATTAAAATAATAATATTAATTATTAATATCCTTAATATTTTTTAAGAGAGAGAGTTTTAAATCAAATCATATTATAATAATAGTTAAAAATGGAATAAAAACCACAAACACAATTGTAATGTGCACGTGTATGTGCGCATTCAATTTTAACAGATTTAATATGTCATCTAGATAGAAGTTAACCTAACTTGTTGGAATATCGTATTGATACCAAAATAATTAAACTTTATTAAAATATATTTGTGTTAACTTTGTGTGTTAGAATTTTTCACTACAGATTCATGTTTTTTTATTCAGCACCCCACGAGAAGTTAGTCAGATGTGCGCCCTTTTATTGAATATATTATTATTAATATATTATTTGAATATATATATATTTATATTTATAATATAATATATTATAAAACATTAAGTAATTTTCAATAAGTTTTTAATTCTTATTATCATATTATCATAATATACATACTATTATGAACAAAATTATTTTTAGTAAATAATACTAATAATAATTCATTGATAAAATACCTTCATTATGAGATTCATTATATTTATAGATTATTTAATTATAGTTAATTTGTTAGTGTAAATATATAGGGTATTCATCAGAAACTAAACATGTCACTTCATAAATATTATATCAAATTGTCTTTCTAAACATCGTTTGGTTTTAAAAATGCTTGTCAAGTTGGGGTTGGGGTTGGCATGTATACTTTCTTGATTTTTACATTTTGGAGAAATATTAACCGATATGTATATATTTTATTAACATAAGAATAATTGGATTAAACCAAATAATACCATAGGCAGTGCTAAAAATGTAAAATTTTCAGAACCTGAATCATTTTTTTTCAATTATGCAACATTTTATTGATCTGTTTTTAAAATTATAACCCTTTTTAATAAGTACTTCAGTTGTACGTTATCATGGAACTTACCTCGCACTTATTAGTACCCTTAAAATGTTAAATGAATTTTTGCCTTTAGGTTCTTAGTTCTTATCTGCGAATTTGTGTGTGTGTGTGTGTGTGTGTGTGTGTGTGTGTGTGTGTGTGTGTGTGTGTGTTTATGATGTACAACTTTAAAGGTGTGTAATGAACGAACTATTAAAGATAAAAGTCTAAAACTCTTCACAGCCCTAATTATCCTAGCCAATGTGATTCTAGCCAGTATATAAACAACAAAATCCATTATCCAGTTTCTGAGATCTTCGTTGTTAAAGAAAACTCTAACTAAAATGAACTAAGTACCTACCACTTTTTTAACTGTTTAAAAATAAGAAGTTAATTAATTTTTATTACATTTTTTAATTTATCATTTTTTATTTACATTACAAGTATTTTTTAATGGGCCATCAACCCGCTTTCTAGATGTCATCGATGAAGAGAAAAGATAAAAACATATTTTTCATTATTAAGTTACATTTTTATAATTTTCAAAATTCAAAT